TAAGTTGGTCAGAAAGTCCTGCCCTAATTTATGGACATTTTAATATCTAATAAGTTTATTGATGCAGCAATTTAATCCCCATTCTTCAGTTATCACTATAGGCTCGCATGAGTTCCTAGATTTTTGTAGCACTTTTTATGCAGAACCCTTGCAACAGAACTGTGGAGGAACCTACATTCTACAATCTCATGACTAACTTCGTATTGACAGTCAAAGTCTTCTTGTACTAGGTTATGCTCGACAACCCGCAGATATAATTCATAACAGATTACAAAGAGTTTACTTCCATAAGTTTTCAATAGGACTAAAATTTCCAGAACTGCCAGCTGCTTCTCTTCACCAACACTTCGCCATCGTTGTGATGTGCCAGAATGTCTGTACTCGTCAATTCATAGAGAACTTAAAGCTGATACGTGTGTGTAAACAGTACTTCTTAACAACAACTCGTAGGGTGTTTTCAGACGTTCTTTTTTTCAACAGAAACTTCGCAGGCTCTTGCTGCATTATGCGCTCAATATTTATCTTAGTTATTCAAGAGTGGGGAGGGAGGATGTTGTTGACTGTTGTTGACGAATGTCTTTCGTTTTAAGCAAACCTTTCTCATATCCGCTAATCTGACTATTTGGGAATAAATATTTGCTTGGGCTGAAGATCCTAGCTACGTTGGTGCTTGAAAAATTTATATTTATGATGATCATTTGGTCCAAATTAACAAAAATAGGTCTTGCATCTTTTGAGAAAATAATTTTCAAAATCTCTAAAGACGACATAGATATTCCAGAAAGAACATATGCTGAGATGTGTGTGGGAAAGTACAAATCAGTAATCGTCATCATATATAGTAGAATGAGATGTGTGTGGGAAAGTACAAATCAGTAATCGTCATCATATATAGTCGATCTGAGAATTTCACTTTATTCAGAGGTCAAGTCTTTACCATAAACTTTTAAGCCATTTCTACCCGTTCCAATGACAATTGCTCTCTTCAGGAGCCACACGTCTCATCCGTTTTGCGGAGTTTTTATCGTCACATTCACATCGTTCACTTATGCTTTTTAAATACACCAATACTAAACCAACTTATCTAAATCGCTATTCTAACATCCCAATGGCTTCAGCTACTTCAAAATGCCTTACGGGCTCGTTCGAATGCCGCGACTCGGGGATATGCTTACGAGACGAATTCCGCTGCGATTACGAACCTGACTGTGCCGACAACAGTGATGAACAGAACTGCGGTGAATTAGCCCTTTTTCTAAAATCTCCTATGAAGTTTAAGTTTTCTGCAAAGTGGTTATATAGTATCTGGTAAATCAATCGATTTACAAATTTAGTGCAATGTTAGAAATGAACTTTATCAAAGGCAAATGGGTGGTTTAGTATTCGTGTATTTAAAAACATTGTAGGGGAGTGGTTATTAGCTTAGGCTGGCACGAATACACATAGGCTTCATATCCACTTTTCGATTGGCTTAAGATATAGTTTACATATCTGCCAGTTAGACAGTCTTAGCATTACATATAAAGGGATAAATATATATTATATATATATGATATACATATGAAATGGTGATTTTATCAATCTCATTTTTTTTCCAGAGGACTACCTAGCGCATTTCGACTTTCTGGGTTCGCTAAAAATTGCCCAAAAAGTGACCGAAATTTGGACATACATACCTCACGTGCAAGGGGTAAGTGCTTCACATTTTCGTGCTTTTTGCATCTAAACAAAAGCAAGGAAAACGTTAGGTAGATTCTTGGAAGGACAGGGAAACAGTGAATTAATTTATTTGACCAGGATTGAAAAGCGGAGCTGTGCTAACATTTGGCCTCACCTCTCTGCTCAGTCAAGCTACACGGGTAGGATCATACCGTTCGCATGCTACTTTTTACTTTTCCTGGTGAGAAGATAACCGCAAGACGCTCACAAGGTTTTGTCACGATGTTGTTTTACGATTAGCTGCTCTTTTCGATGGAAATTTCGAATTCCTTCTCAACTTTGTTGTCTCATGGAAAGCTAACCTAACGTAATTCGTAAGGCCGATAGCTATTGAAATAGCAAGGTCCACCATCCTGGTATCAAAGTCGCATGGTGGCAAATCTCGCTCTGATCCACAAGGATTGCGACTGCTTGTGGTGGTGACGACCTGGTGCAGACGACTTTGGCCAGGCTGACCTCGGGACTCCAGGGAACCACAATGGCTTCAAACAAGCAAGTGGGGCCACACAACAAGTGAGGACGGGCCATTCAAGTATTAAGTAAGTATCAAGATATCTATTGAAAGAGGGGAAAATGCTGCCGTCAATAAATGCTTAATACTGAGTATTTTTGTAGCTTCGTGTATGGAGCGCTGCCTATACTGTGGGTACGGTAGGCCATGAGCTTGCAAAAACCAATTTCTTTTAATTATTTAGAGACAGTGATTGATATTCTACAGTCGAGAAGTAGTTTAATTTTCGATTTCCAGTGTGCTCGTCGTTGCCGCGAAAGTTCACTGGTCTGTGAGGCGTTTTCATACGAGGCTCAGACTCAGGTGCGCTCTATTTGCGTTAACATATCCAAACAAAAACACGGTTTCCAAGCGTCGTTACAGATTTTGAATCTTTTCAGATGTGCCTACTTACCGACAGTACAGAAATTGGGGATAATCTTGCAGTAAAACTTAGCAGTCACTACTACAAAAAACGAGTTCTATCCAGTGAGTAGTAGCTCATCGGTAACTAAAAACGACCACTACATGGCCAAATTTTTGGAAAAAAGCCTTTTTTATCGGCTTGCTATACTTTACTTTGCTATACTTCATTATGCTTAGGGGCGCGTGCGGCGGAGTGGTCGTAGGGGCCCCGCAACACACACGTGGAATCGATCCGGCGCCCATAGTCCACCAAGCCCTCCATCCCTCCAGGGTCGGCAACTTGGTACCAGACTTGTCTGGGTGGATAGCAGCACTGGCTCGATACATCGGTAGGCCACCGCGAGTCACCGTAATGAAGTCAAATGCATGGCGCATCCCTCAGGGATTGACCAACGCCGAGAGCTTTATCCTTTATTTACCCTTCATCCTTACGCTTATTTTTCGTTGGTCATTGCCATTGGAAGTGTAACATCTAGCTCTCGAAAAATATGTAACTAATTTCCGCACCTTGGTGGAAACAAAATAGCGGTCGTGGCTCATTTGCGAATGTGATGAGTTAGCTTTTGTTTACCCATGAATCAAGTGATCCTTACAGATTCTCTTTAATGAAAAATTTAAGACAAATTGGTCGCAGCTTTCGGTAATAAGACCAGACTATCGCAAACGTTGAATAAAGTTCTATCTATGATACTTCAATGTGATTAAATGTGACTGAATTCAGTCAAATATATCAAGAGGATCGGACAAATCGTGGCAGTACTCCACTAGGCTCATACACTTCCGTGTTTCATAAGTCATTCGCGTAGAGGTTCTAATGAGCAGATTGGATAGCTATACGATAGCAATGATAACTATAAGCTCTTGAAAAGAGGTAAAGGCATGTGAACTAGGATCGTAGAGCCATTTTCACCAATCGATTTGCATTTGTTCTGTTGTCAACGTCGAGACTTGTACTTTTCAGGTGACATACTTTTCAAATTGATGAACGGCGGCAAACTTTTAATCTTTAAAAAAAGCACATGGGCACATGTGTGTGTCGACGGATTTTCATTCGAGTATTCAACGTCGATTTGCCGAATATTCGGCTATGGGTGCGTCTGTGCTACATACTTTATTTTACAAGCGAACAAATATTGTCTCGGCGAGTCCAATGTTGAATCATTGCTACTCGCTCCTGAATGCAAGTTCGGTTAGCTTCGTGATAAACTCTTCCCAATTGTTTCGTAGATATCCACCAACATACTAAATGCAATAGTCTGACAATTATCCGTCATCATAAAGGTGCTTCTAAGAACACTCACATCATCCGGAAGAGTTCCGCACTGCGGACTATGTCCACGATGTGCTGGTTGGGTACATTTCATTCCTTCCAACACGCTCTGTATAACAGTTCTTGTGATTTCAGTTGTCAATTTCTTTCATCATTTCTTCTCGAATGTAAAAACTTCAATTTGTTGTCGTTATTTAAAAGTGTTCCCAATTTAGGGGACCTTTAAAGACCAGTTTCTTTACATTCTTCCAATTACTTGGTACCACAACAAGCCCGCTGAAAGTAATTGTAAATTTTCTTGAATTCAATGATGAATTCAGTTCATTAAAAGATGTTCGAATGGTGGAGAGGAGGGTAGTGATGCCGTTCATCACAACCACGGTGCTCCTTTGTTCCCGCCCAGCGCCCACGAAGTTTCCACCCTTCATGAGTCAGGAAATTGCTGCCAGTTCCGGGAAACTGCGTATTTCAGGACTACAGAGAGATTCGGCTCGATCAGCATTCAGCGTCATTCATAACGAAGAAGAAAATCCTCAAGAGACACCCAAAACCCACATGCAAATGTTCGAAGATATTCATGAATGATGGATGAGAGGAAACGAATCGAATGCAAGAACTGCTGGGATCAGCACAGTACATCTGTGCACGAGTCAGGCAAAATGTAAAAAAAAACGTTGGCAAGCATTTTTCAAGAAGGTTGAAAAGAAGATCTTAATAAGTATTGGTTTCCTGAAGTACTGAGTTCATGTTCAGAAACATTCTCGTTGGTCTGGGGTCCAAGTTTTGCAAATATCCCACCGTTATTGTGGCTATATTTCACATAATATCCTGCCGTAGATAAAATAATGGGTAGTAGATAAAAAGTTGATAAAAGTTACTCATTCTCGTTATGTTCGGCAGTTTTATACTGTAATGTTAGCACTGCATCAGTACAGTGGTACTCTTCCAATATTCGATTTTTTAGGGAAGCTTTCATATTCCCCGAAATCTTGCTAAATCTCCTGACACTCTCATAATTAAATTGCTTTTTCTACGTTTGCTCTATCACCTAAGGTCGCCAGCAGGCTAGCATTTGTGTGTCATTGCGATCGCGACCTATAGACGACGTACAGGGTCCTCCACAGGTAGATAGTTGACAAAGAGGAGCTGAGGCTCAAAATCAACGGATCTGAGCTCGCCAGCGTATTGTGTACCCAACTTAACGCCATCAATGTACGCCTCTCGAGTGACGGCATAGTTTGCATGGACCTGAAAATTTTTCATAAAATTCCCTATACCTGCGAAGATATAGACACTTCTAGAACTCATTCTGACTACCAAAAAATGGAGATGTGGATTAGTTAACATAAGTTGTATCGTAAGCAAAACGCTACTCATGGACGTGGTCACATGCGAGCTATTTCCATAGCGGAGGATTCATGTCTCCTGGCAATTTCTCCTTGTTAAAAAAAGAAAACGTTTTCTATTACAAGTAATACACCCTCACTCTTGGAGTAAAATGGTCTTCTACTTCACTTACCTTCATATTCTTGGGTTTGTTGATTTTGCACTGTGACTTTGTGAAGACTCAATGATGGTGCTTCTTAATATTTTGAATCTACTAATCTAGCTGAAGAAGCTGAGCTTACTAATCTGAATCTCATTTTTTTGAATGCACCAGCACCCACTCCTGTTAGAAAGTGAATAGTTTGGTGTGCCTTCAGAAGAGAACTCGTGTTTTGACGGCGTTGCTTATCAATAAGCGCCACTCTTACTAGGGAAGGAATAGCAATGAGTATCACATACCAGCCACTACATCAGTGACTCAAAACGGACTTATTCCACCGAGAATAGCAGCTATGCAAATTCGCGTTTCATGAGAAACTCGCCATCCTCTCTCACTCCTCTCAGTTGTCTTATGGCCGCTCCACAATCTTATTTTTCTTCTGCATATGTGGAGTTAACACACAGCCACCTCATTTAATGACTATATCAAATTTATTCGGTGGAAGGTAGCTAGCATGAAGTTGCCAGTCAATTTGATAAACTTGTTTTTGCTATCCTTTGCTTTGAGTTTGGGCCATATCGCAAAAATTTGCACCTGAGTAGAAATTTTTCGAGCGTCCACTTTACTACCCACACTTGTCGTTCATTTTTATTATTATTAAGCTTTGGTCTTGAAGAACGCTCGGTGCTTACATAATCCGGACCATCATTAAATTGTAGAGAATTCTGGACCTAGTAATTTCAATTTGTTGAAGCGAATTCAGAAATCCGACTACTCGGACATTCAGTTGCAATGAACTGAGTGGTTCCAATCACCGTATTAAGGTGCAATGTCCATTTTGTTTTCAAGAAAATATATAAGACATAATTAACATAATTACCACATAAAATATTTCTTGTCCATCACGTCGTTTCCAGGCCGGCATTAAGAGGACATTCCGCTCGTCGTCCTCGTGCAGGAACGACGTCTTCATCCTCGGAATCTCGTGGCTGGTCCGTACAGTGTGTTCGTGACGCGAACTGCACCATATTATCGATTTGCACACCGCTCAGGTAAGTAAGCTTTGACACTTCAGTCTGGACAATCAAATAAAGCTGGCTTACACGTCTTGTTGAACGGACGGATACGCTACCAAGGGCATCGTATTCAGAGATTTCAACTACTTTGCTGCCAGTATGCTTAGGGACAAGTAGGGTACCTGAATACGGACCGATCGTCATCAGTGATTTTCCTAAGCGTTCAATAAACCTCTAAGCCGCACAGAAGAGTTTCATTCATGAGGCTCATCATGTCGTATGACTCACAAAAAACTCACCGTCGCCACCGCTTTAATAGCTACGAAGTGTGAAATCACACGTAGCTTTCAAGCTTTATAACCTCGCTGTTTACTTCGTAATGAAATCATCACTTGAATTGTTGATATGCAAAGATAAGAAACAACAGTATATTACATTAAGGTAAGGCAGGCCATCACTACGTCCTCATAGCACAGGGGGATTCATTGTTCCAGTTAACTCATCCCCGGCTTCATCCCTTTTCGTTCACAAGATGTTGTTTTAGTTTCTCAACAGCATAGTTTTTTACGATCCCAATATGCCATGTTTTTGGAATTTATTATTCACTATTGCGTGACAACGCTGGTTTTTCGGAAACGCTGTAATTTCTTCATTAACAGTCTCACAACGAGTGACATCTGTAGGTGTCACAATGAAACTGCGAGAGTGGCCGATATGACGCCTATAGCGGTCGTATTCTTTGCAGTGGTATATTTTTATGCGCAAAAGCTCACCAAGTGCTGACACCAGTATGACTGCAGAGTGGACGTGGTTTTTTTTATTCACAAACAAGCATTGTTTGTGCACCAAAAACATAAGGAGGTGTATAGAAGAACGTGGAGCGTACGTAGGATAAGTGAAGCACAGAAATTCGTCCAAAACGCAGAGAAAAAGCAATTAATAAAACGAAAGTCACCATAAAAGGCGCTGTATAAAACTGCCGCACTGGCCGGTGTGAGAACCATAGGTATCACAATGAGCACTCCAAAAAACTAGGCGTCGTTCAGTCCGCTGTAAAACCGAAATTAAGCGTCGCGGTAGTGTTAAGAGGGTTTTGGAGACGTTGAAAAAATGACGGGCTTAATATGTGGTTTTCACAGGATGTTAATTTGATTCTAGATTTATTTAGAATCGAAATTCATAATAAACTGGTAAGGAAACTTTTAACTTTTGACATTTCCCTCTGAAGCCGCAAGAACCAGCAGGACATTGGTAAAACCATAGTGGACGAGTTCCCACTTGTTCAGTTTTTTTCTGGTTCTTCAAACTAGCCTTGATTTAAGAGAAATAAGAAAAAAAACATGCCGTGGGATTCAGAAAATCACAATTTCATCACGGCAAGAGAAAAGAACATGTATTTTGTAGTATATTGTGTAAACAGAAATCTACAGATTCTACTAGTCTTCTTTGCACTTAATAAAGTTCATTGTGGTCTGAAATATGTGGGCATAAAATTAAAAGCTTCCATTCTTTTTGCGCCGCAAAATCTTTTCATTATATTCGTTTCAATTCCCACACTACTGACTGAGTAGTATATCTTACTTTTGTTGTTGAATAAAGAATAAAGGTTCTGTTTCCACTGATGCCTTTTGCGTTCTTCGTATCAAATAGTCTTAGCAATCAGTCAGATCATTGAGATTTCCATCGAAATGTGGTGATTGCATGTGCTCGACGTGTTCGGATGCCGTGTGTGGAGACGGGACTTGTGTCAGCCGCATGCAGTTGTGCGACGGCCGGCCGGACTGTGCGGATGCATCTGACGAGCAACAGTGCACTGGTCTGTCCACATCCTTTTGTTGGTGGTGATAAAATGTTACAGCGAGATCCGTATACTGCCAGATCCCCATTCCTTGGAAATAGGTTAATGATACACTGTGACACCACCGGCAGTTTGCTCCAAATTTAGTAGAATAACGTGACCTTGGGCTAATTTTGTTCTACGATTCTACTTCGTCATTGTAGAATATATAGTGTGCAAACCAATAGATCGTTATAACGGCTTGAACGATTAAAAATATTCACGTTTGTTTTGCAGACATTTCTTTTCGGCTAACTAATCACGATGGAATCACGGGTAACGTGCAGGTGTTCTTCAAGAGAATCTGGCAACCGGTGTGTGCACAAAACCTCGCACAGCATTCGGCTAACAGAATTTGTAGCCAGATGGGCATGAAGTGAGTTTTGTTTCTGTCAAATAACGTTCCTTGTAAATGAAAAGTGTGCCTTATCGACTTGTAGAGATTGTTCATCTGAAAATTCCTTAGCAACCCTTTCTTCTTTATTTCCTCGGCATACCCATCCTCTTAGTGCTTATGGCGTACATTAGGATCTAAGAGAAGGCTAAACGTTAGGAACTACTCCAATAAAAGTTGAACTATTGTTCGATCTCATTCCATCAAAGGCTTCAAAGTCCTCACTGAGTCACGTAATTCGTCCGCATTTGATGAAAACAAAGATTTTTTTACATGATCCATAATCACGGCTAGTGTGAAGATCTCAGCACTTCTTGCATTCGATTCGTTTTTCCTCGCTTTCATCGCCTACAAAGGTGTTCGAAATTTTCGCGCGTTGTTTGTGCTGGTGTTTGAGGATTTCGTTTTTATGAATGTCGTGGAACGCTGGTCGAGTGGGTTACCGAGCTATGGCCATCCAACATGGATTGGAGGAGAGCGTTGGGCATGTGTTCACTAGCACCTTTCTTTCTGATGCACTGCATTACTAACCACTGCGCCACCATCTCCCCATACTAGGGGCATATAGCGCAGTGGTGGTGATACTGTTCATCACGAGCACGATTTTCTGGTTCGACACTGCCTTGGCTTCACGAAACCTCTCATTTCTGTGGGATCAAAAAATTTGCACCAGACTTATCTCTTCTTCTGAATTTACTCTCTGCCATTTAAATGGGAACGCTCTAACCAGGCCGCCTCAGGTCTCTAGTAAGAATCGACTAGACTAGCATTCAATGACATTCATAAAAAAGGCAAGCCTAAAACAGCAGCTGAACCCTAAGCGCGAAAAATTCGAAGACCTTCTTGTACGATGGATGCGAGGAAACGAATCGAATGCAAGAGGTGCTAGGATCCGTACAGTATATATGAAACCAGGTCTTGTAAAATTTTTGTGAAAAAATGGTTTAACAGTACTCTGTGAGGTGGTTCATCATGAAGACATCTTATCAATGGAAAGTCAATCAGTCAATAACCGTTTTCTATTCAAGGATACTGCAGTCAACTTTAATGTGGAATGTTATGGACTTGAATCACTACGACTCTCAAGAAGGAGAAAGCGCACAAAAATTTACCCAAATAAAAACTGAAAATTTAAAATAAGAAAAACAACCGAGAAAGCAAAATATTTGTTAAGCTGCGTGGGAGTTATGTCGGTCTTTTTAGTTCTTTCTCTTATACGACCCGTCTTCACGTCAACTGTGCCGATCCCAACACTACTCACATTCGATTCGTTTCTTCGCATCCATCGTCCACTAAGTTCTTCCAACGTTTACATGTGGTTTCAGATGCTGCTTGAGGATTTTCATTTCATTTCGAATGTCGTAGAATGTTGGTCGAGTCGATTCTTATTAGAGTGCTGAGATAACCGAGTTAGAGCGTTCCAAATTGCATTGCAAAGAGTGATTTTTGCCGGACGAGTCCGATAACAGTTTCCCTACCTCGGTGGGATAAGAGGATTGGTGAGTCCGAATAGGGATTGAACGAGCACCGTGCTCTTGATAAACAGCATCTTTACAGCTGTCCTATTAGCGTCCTGTTATGTCGGCTACTAATAATGAACTTCAAGCATGTATATATTACACTATAATGAACTTTATTGGTGAGCTTGAAGATTAGCAGATTTTGTCTACATATTTTGTCAGTGAGATGCACATGCTTATTTATTTTTTCGTAATAAAGTTCCAGATACCTGGTAAACAAGTCGTTGAGGACTATCCCCGGTAGTTGTCATGGTATTTTAAATATTTAGTTCGCTAGCGAGAGATGCACTACTTTTCCTCGCATGTGCAATTTCTCGTCACAGTTCCTTCAACTTTCGGACAACTCCGACAACTAAGAACACCTCCCAGCCACGATAAGGAGGTAAACCGTTGCGAGGGACGTACTGATTCAGCATACATTGTCTATGTTTATATATCCTTCCACACCCAGTATTCTGCAAAAGTCGCATAATCGATTTCTATCTTTTTACTATCCAATTTGGAAACATAGTTAAGAAGCTGTTCACCTATGCACCACAATGAGTTCTAGGAATTCAACAGATCTCAGTTGTGGCACAGATTTTATCCTAGCTGGGGTTGCTAACTCATCAGTTTGGGTTGGTCTGCTGGAGTTTAGTCCATAATATAGATCAATACGCGGAAGTGATTTGAAACTAGGACAAGATGGAAAATATTAGCAGATGAGAGATTGGTAACATGTTTGAAAACTTGATCACTCGTGGAAAGTCAAACAGAAACAATAATTTTCCCATCAATTCAGGACGCCAGCCAAAGTACTACCTTCCTTGACGACCAACTCCAGTGGATGGCGGATAAACTGCAACGGCCAGTCATGCTCACTTCAAGGCTTGGTGTATTGTCTAAGTATGGCTCGGATCCAGTGCCGTACTACCAGCCCAAGTATGTCACGATCTCTCGAATTTTTTGAGTTAAAAAAGGAAATTTTAATTGGTCCAGCATACTTTATTGCTCTTATGTCTGAAGTTGAATTTAAGTTTAAATATTCATTGTACGGTGCCGTTCAGACTCTGATGAAGTATGTGGAGTCCCTCGGGTGACGACCCCGTTGGCTCGCGATCCGTTCCATTCCCGTCTAGCACGCGTCGTTGGTGGATTTGAGACACTAGCCGGTGCATTCCCATGGACAGCTGCCATCAGAACCAAGGTGGTCTCAGAGTATAAGCAACTTTCAATACTTCACACTATTTCTTAGTTCTAAGTTTCGAATACAGTGAGAAAGGTTAAATGGTGGAATATTGGCTTTCGTACTTTAAATGAACAAATAAGGTGAACAAAGACAGCATCCTGTGCAACTAACGCGAAGTTGATCCTCATTTTTTGATTGTCCTTAGAGTATATTCAACCAATCCTTGGCAGTGCGCTAAGATTTTTCCACTGTTAGTTGTTCATTTGCGTTATACTCTTACGTCTTCGTGAGAGCTAGCTTATGAATGCCCCAATAAGTTACAGCGCAACGAGCACCACAGATAGAAAGCACACTGATTTCCAGTGAATGACAGAAACGTCGTCGTTTAATGAGAATCGGAAAATTTAAATAATGAAAACACTGCTACCTACTTCAGAGTGGTGCTCATCATTGCGGCGCAAGCATTCTTGACAGGACCCATCTCATCACAGCTGCACACTGCTTTGAGTAAGCGTTTATAAAGTGATTGGATCATTTTTTATCTTCAGACAAGATATTTTTACTGATTTAGTTATTAAAAGGGGCACTGGGGGGATAGCAGCGCTGGCCCGATGCATCGATAGGCCACCGCGAGTCATTGTAAAGGCCAGATATGCATTCAATCACCTCGAAACGATGCTTAACGAAGTCGAATGCATGACGCATCCCTCAGGGTTTGATCAACGCCGAGAGCTTTATCCTTTACCCTTTTTATGCCACAAATGGAGCTAAATTCATGATGCATTCCTCAGAGCGTAACCAACTCCAGACACTTTGTCCTTTAAATTAGAAAAATTGTTCATTTGTCATAACACTCCATGCTAGTCGCACTTTGCTCGAAAGTGCTTGTCTTCCTTTGTTGGTCACCGAGCTAAAAATATAGTGAAAAATCTAAGGCGTTCAGTGAGCGACATCGTTGTCAAGCCTTGCTTGCTTGGAAACAAATTGTGGAAAATATTCGTTCCTGAGTCTTCTAATTCTGATTGCAATAATTTTCCGAACGATAGAATTCATAGAAGCCTGTTTTTATTAGCCAAGGTTAGAAGTTGAGGTGAAGAAATCCTGTTGATTCGCATTTCATCTAAGAATCAAGTTTGTCGTCGGGCGAAACGGAAAGCCTTACCGTCCTCTATTTTGATTCTTCTGAAAATCTTGGGTAGTAATACAGACTTCTCCCATGTTTGGCCATTTCCATCAACATCTCTAGTTAATCATTAACACACAACGCCCAATGTTGGTTTTTCCAAATTTTCGATAACGAACGACTATTTCTCCATTTGTACAGTTTTTACTTCACAGACTAATAGAAGAGGCTTTTACCATTGCTTTAAAGATGCATATACAAAAATTCCTTTAATTCTGAACTTCTCTGGAATTAAGATTACCTAAAATTGGAAGCGATGCTTTTGAAAATTTTCAAGGCAGATGTAATTGACGCAACCTTTAACGGTACGTTGAGAAACAGCATCGCTTTCCAGCGGTCGGAATCCTATCTGTCCAACTGCCTTGCGAATCTCAACGACAAAGGCGGAAAAAGACGTTCTCTGCGCTCTAGAAAATCAGAATTTTACCTTGGTAGGATGAAAAAGCCTTCATCTTGTTATGAAGATCTGTAGATTCTATTGATTCTTGTTTCAAATGAAAAGTTCGTGACTAGCTAAAATATGTCTAGTTTCAAGTTGAAAGCTGCCATTGTTCTAGCACCAAATGCATTGTGGGTAATGCATGTTATAGCTTTATGGGAGAGACACAAAGGGCATCACAGTTAAGTCTACGATCGAAGTCTAAATGTAGAATCGGCAGTCATTCCTTTGTATGATTGATAGAATTGTTAACATCGTTCTCCACTAACATTCATTGAGATGCATAAACCAATACCGCCTACGATTCAATCAATGTTTTCGTAGGTTCCACAAACCTGTTTTTCCTATTGCTCAACTCTTCAGCTAAGTCGCTCATCATTTTGACCTTCTCACTGAAGTACATACGCCTGAAGGATTTAATTCGCTTAATTCGATTCGATTTAATTCGATTTAATTTAATTTTAATTCGCTTACCCAACTGTTCTCGAACTGTCTTGCTTATACGTGTTTTGTTTTTTTTTCAGAGAAGATCACCGTCCATCATCGTATGTGGTTGTCGTGGGAGACTGGGACAACGGAATTGACGAAGGCCACGAACAAACGTTCAACGTCTCCGGATTTCATTTCTATCCTCTCTACGAAGGTTTGTACAAATCATGTTTCAACTACTGAATGTACAATTTAAAATGCAGCGAGTCACCTTTGTTAGTTCATTCCCCTGTGCTACATTTTTTAATGTTATCCTTCAAAATCCTTTTTCAGTTTTTAATCGCCTCCTATTTTCTGCTCTGATATGGTGTGGCTTATTTTAATCGTAGTGAAAATGGTGTAGTTCGTGAACACCAAAAACGTGGTCCTTGGGCTCCATTTTAAAATATCCTTGCTATTATGAAAATTTTCTCATCTCGTTGTTCTGCATTGGTAACGCACCGCACCTAAATGTTCTACGAACTCGCGGTCGACATCCCCTTCCAGCATAAACCACAAAGATGGTTAATTAAATGTTTATGCGAGCAATAAACTAATACCATAATGAAATCAATAAATATCGGGAGACAATTTATGAATGAGAATTAGCTTATGGAAATTAGTTTGCATTACGGAGTGGACCAGTTTTCTAGAGCATTGCAGATCGATATGTTGAGAAATTAAGAAATCAACAAAGGTTTTGAGTATTAACGTAGTGGGGTCTGCACACATTGATTTAAATACATACGAGGAGCAAAGAAGATTTAAGCGTTATTGCAAGACTTTCGAAAAGCAAAAACACTGCAAGTGTGATGATGAAGTGCCGAGAAGGCTTCTATCTGGTCTTGCGTAATCTACATGGAATAGGTCAACTTCTCGTAATGCACGAGAAAGTACCGTAACAAAATGCTTGTTCATATATGTTTCTTCATCGAAATTCGATATTCGAGAAGGGAGATCGCTGTTTCGGATGGGACTCTCCTAATAGTGCGACTCTTGCGGAGATTGAGCATTACAGACAGACCAGGGAAAAGGCGACCGATGACTACGCCCTAATTGCCCAAGAATCAAAGTTTGTACCGGTGGCGTTTCCGTCTCTTATTGAGGAGAAAGAAGAAAGATCGCATTTGTATAGCAACAGGAAGTTTCTCAAGTAGAGGAGTAAAGTAGAGCTTTATCCTACTGCGACATACCTAACCAAGGTAGTAATAACGGCCAGTTGCGAAAATTTCGTGAACGAGTACCAGCAATGGTATAAACAGAAAAAACTGTTGGAAGAGGATCAAAAAATAACTGGTCTAACGAAACTCAATTGTAAAAAAAAGCGTGTATCAAATCATCTCGTAGGAACAATGGTAAAATCACTAACAAATCCGTAAATCGTGTAGACGTAAGGACGGTACACCTACCGTTTCTGTTCCAGATTCCTCATTTTTAACTCTGAAATTCACACAAGAGGAAAACCAACTCAAATTCTTCCCCTTGAAATCCGTATTGCAATCACTGTCGCGAAAAGAGGCACAGCTCTAAGAGGAGGTATTGTCAAATAGAACTCCTTCTAAGTTGCAATTAAATAAAAGATGAAGCTCACCTTGAAGTGCACCTTGCATCCGACTTCATTAATTATCGTTGGAGGTGATTGAATGTATATCTGGTCTTTACAATGACTCGCGGCGGCCTACCAATGTACCGAGCCAGTGCTGCTAACCTCTCAGACAAGTCTGGTGGGCCATGAGTGTGGGGATCGATTCCATGTGCGTGTCGCACTGTCGCCTCCAACCACTGCCCCACACGCGCTCTTTGCAGTTAACAATTAACAAGTTGCAATTAACGAAATATAACACGAACTTTTCAGTATCCGTGTGAGGACTTGTCTAAAAACGACGAAACAATCACTCACTAATAAAGCACCTTAAATACAATCATCCTGCCTAAGAAATTTGATCAGAGGGATCTTCGCAACCAGCTCTCGTTTTACTTTTCGGGAGTGCTTCACAACCTCGTTACGAAGATTATCCTATTGTGGATGAAGCTCAACAGTCAGAACAAACAATATTCACTAGTAATTCGGCTGTACAGACCACATCTACACTAGCGTCATGTAGATCTTTCGGAATTACGACTTGGTCCATGTTCTAACAGCTTCCGGTTATGAAAAAACACTGGACAGAATCCAATTCTATCAGGGCTCGTAGACCATGGAGTGGACATGTCCTACATGAGAACTCTGAAGAACTGAGCACCAAATGTATTGACCAGTTCAGTAGAAACCATTTCTTTTCCTGTTGCATATTACTTTCGGTAATAGACAATATTTATTATTTTTGTAATCTGCCATGCAGTTTTTTCCGTAATATGAAAAAGGAGAAGAAGGGCCAAGAAGAAGTGCAGAAAGGATTGGTAAGCCGTTTTACAGCTGAACAACAATTTCGCTACAGTATTTATTTAAGGAGATATCATTGTTGGTTATTTTATCAGGGTTGCATGGCTAACAACTTCCCGTCAGCTGCAAAAAAATTGAGGATATTGGTAAAATATGTTTAGAAAATGGAAAGTATTTTCTGTGAGGTAGCGAACTGTGCAGCTTGTTGCTAGCACCACTGTAACGCGAAAACATAGTTCTTCCCTTGATATCATACTATTCTTATGGGAAAAGTTGTTCGAACAGGTGAAAGCCTCGCCAAAGTTGACTATCATCCCATCTCAATGGACAGTGAAGCCGTTCTATTTGGACGAAAAGGACATAAGGATTCTTGCTAAATTCCTATTAATACCAGCACTATCGCCATTTTTCGAGGTCCATGACTGGAACAGAGACAATGTTGGAGTAGAAAACGATAGAACTGCGCACAAATTGAAAGGAGATCCAACTTGCAAAAAACTCATGATTTGATGGAAAAAAATCTGATTCTGTACCTCTCGCTTTACAGCATTCAGTTTATACAAGTAACTAGAGGGAAATTCAATAAACATGAAAAACTATCAAGAAGGGGGAAATATGAAGAAGAAGATCAACGTCGACAGCGGACAACGAGCTGGATTCTTTCGAAGAAACCAGTGATCATTTGATGAACCGAATACACCGTTCTTAGATTTTTGAGCTCATGGTTTTTCTAGCGCTTTAGTGTGCAGTTGAAATATGAGTTGCTAATGCAGTCTCTTCAAGAACTTCGAGAACCAGCCGCATATAGCTTTAACGCTTTTTTTGTGAAGGACAGAAAACACACACAGCAGTCGGACTGCGCAGTTTAAACCTATGAAATCGTGTCAGATCTTTGGGATCTAAAAGTATAAGGTTTTGAGGACTTTTTGAAAGCGAAACAGAGGTGGACCATTCATATAAGAAGAAGAGTTAGTGAAACACGAAGGAGAAGGATTGAGTGAACTATGAAAACAAAGAAGCGTCCACTAGGATGACCACCTACAGGATGCACAGATTTCTTTGTGCCTTTCGTCAACCAGCTCTATTCAGGTATGGAAACTAGTTGAGCATCACGAAACTGTTTAAGCAGACTTTTCCGCATGAAGCAAAAAAGCACCATAAACGATGAGAACGTGGGAAAGAAACAACTGGAAACGTGCAGGAACTTATGAATAGGGGCCATTCGAGTACCCGAGTAATACTTAAATTCATTAGGTTGCGATGTTGCTTCCTAGTATTACAAAACCCACCCCAAGTCGATTCGCCATAATGGACTTCTACAGATTATATTAGACTATTTAAATCAGTTGAATTAAAGAAATACCGACCTCGTATGGGTGTTTTTTATTGCAAAGTTTTTTTCCTGTTTTATTTCATCCTAGATAACTAAATGTTGATTTCGTGGAATCCTTCTGGTAAGATACGTGCAACATGAACCTTACACTAAGTCAACAATCACTGTGAGAGTACACACGTCCGCTGACGTTATATCGCTATTCAGCGAATAAGATTACAAGGTAATGCGTCGAGCTCAAGGCTCTGGAGAAGGAAATGTCACGAAAACGTTGGCCGTAGAAAACTAAACAGATGTTAACAATATGGTATTAGCTCAATAAGAAAAGTTTGTGAGAACATATAACTTATTAATTTAGATCTCTTTGCACACGATCTCGCGATTCTGGAAATTGAACGACCTGGAATCGTGTTCGACGATTGGGCTCGGCCCATCTGTCTCCCCTCAAGGAACTTTACATATCAAACTGGAAGAAAATGCATTGTGTCTGGATGGGGCAGCGTCGGTCTTAGTGAGAGTTTTCATTAAGGATTAATTTTTAGACGGTAACAATACATACCGTATTGTTACCTTTTCCATTTATTGCGTACTACAACTTTTCACGGCAGGGTATTATGTGAAATACAACCACAGTGATGCTGAGATATTTGCAATACTCCGGACGGGAGGTGTCTGCGGTAGTGATCGAACACGCTATTTCCCTTTTCGGGGCTGACGCTAAGAAACAATAACATTTTTTTGGTTCCACGAAAAGGATTGGCATGACACTTTTCCACGTCCAAACGATCCGTGTAATTTCTTCAGTACACCGAAGAACCTCTCGAAGGTGGATAACATTCTGAGAATTATGCTTGGCTCTAAACTTGGACTTCCAATCAGTTCAATGAAACTTTGAGACCCAAACTTGCATAAAAAAGAAATATCTCTGAGAGAGGAACTAATTGATCAACACAGAAATCCGACGAGCTTAAGTTTTGATACAACTAAGTACTCTAGAAGCCCTCTGTCTCTTCTTTCAGCGTATCCTTCCCGTCTACAAGCTGCTGCTTTACCGATAATCGATAGAAGTGAATGCATAAATTCATCGCATATTTACTCCTCTATGAGTAGATCATCATTTTGCGCCGGCTACCTTCAGGTGAGCTTTTCGCGTACAATGGAAATTGCTCCGCCTATTGTTAATTTCGTACGGCTCTCAGTGAAATACCATCTTTTCCTCGTGTTTGGTGTGGAACACGATGCACCAATGCCACCTCAGCCAACCAAGCCCACCATTCCGAACGATCCCATAGGCCCATAGGCTCCACAGCACTCAACAATAGTCGCTCAGTAGATTTATAAACAGAAGTCTACTCTCTACAATAATCCACTTTGTCGGAATTGATCACCTAGTCGTAAACCATATAGATGACCTCATAAATGACTGTTTAGGAACAGTTATACAGATGTGCGAAAGATTCTTTGATACAATATGAAGACAAAAGTCTTATGCTGGTCGTGGACTACATTATCACATTCTGTGTAGTTTTTAGGGTGGTACTGATTCTTGCCAAGGTGATTCAGGTGGTCCTTTTGCCTGTCAGAACAAAATCAATGGTAGGTCCGACTCAATTCTCAAATAAAATGGTGTCACTTTAGCATTTACATAAGTGGTTGGCCGTACCAGCCAAAAGTGTAGTCCTCTTTGCTTCTTATGTCTATTGTAACTCATTTTTCCTGATGAACAAAATATTGTGATAGTGTTTTAACGTTTTGTTTTCTGCCTTCTATAATTTTCATGGCAGGTTACTAAGCGAAATACAACCACAATGTTGCTGAGATATTTGCAAAACTCTGGACCGCAGGTGTCTATGGTGGGGAACGAACGCGCTATTATCCTTTCCGGGGAGTAACGCGTTCACCACCACACCATGCGGGTCCTTTGTTTCGCACGTCTCTCAGCTATTTCTATCGATCTTTTTGCCACAGCAATCACCCGTCAGCGGGGTTGATCTGGGGAGCGCAAATCGGCATAGAACCCAGTTAAGCTATGGCTGTAGTTGAAATCACAATGTTTTAACGTTTTGTTTTAACGGCAAAAAGATCAATAGAAATAGCTGAGAGACGTGCGAAACAAAGGACCCGCATGGTGTGGTGGTGAACGCGTTACTCCCCGGAAAGGATAATAGCGCGTTCGTTCCCCACCATAGACACCTGCGGTCCAGAGTTTTGCAAAAATCTCAGCAACATTGTTATTGTGATAGTCTTTACACAAATTAATCCAACCAATGTTGAAAAAGGGCGCAGTGGTCGGAGGCGCCCTGCAACACACACGTGGAATCGATCCCCGCGCCTGTGGCCCACCAAGCCTTCCATCCTTCCGGGGTCGGTGAATTGGTGCCATACTTGTCTGGGAGTATAGCAGCACTGGCTCGATATATTTATTTATGTGATCTTATAAACTGATCTTCTTAAGCTAACGCGAGGTTGGTACAGATCATCGTTGTCGTTGTCGTTGTTTTTGATGCTATTGATCGATGGCTGACGTTTCGGCGACTTCGCCTTCCTCAGAGCCGTGATGTTACGTGCTCGATACATCAGTAGACCACCGCGAGTCATCATAAAGGCCAGATATGGATTCAATCAACCTCCAAACGATGCTTAATGAAGTCTAATGCATGGCGCATCCTTCAGGGATTGATCAACGCCGAGAGCTTTATCCCTTCTGAGCATTTAAAAAAAGCAAACACACACGTTTATTTCAAATACCTGCTGGCGGTTAAAAAAATGGCGTCATTAATGTCTAGACAAATATTTGAGCATTGTCAAGGAAAACAAATCGTGTACTCTACTTGAGGAAAAAATCATCCAGTTTGAAAAAAACTGCGCAATACATCGATGGTTTCACCTGTTCGGATGCTTAACTACCATGGCACAACAACCGATTTACGCGGTTCAAAGGCATGGACTTCTACGGTTCCGAAGATTTCTTGGGCTGCATTAGATGGTTATGAAGAAATGTGGTAGCATGGGTGTAGCATTGGTAAAGCCAATCACCACATGTCAAATTGAAGGTGTTTGGTGTTGATAAGTCCACGAGGGATGCGCCGTGCATTCGGCTTCACTAAGCATCGTCAGAAGTGACTGGGTGCATATGTGGCCTGTACAAACACTCGAGGTGGCCTATCGATGTATGGAGACAGTGCTGCTATCCTCTCAGACTGATCTTGCACCAATTCACCGACTCAGGAGAGTTGGAAAGCCTGGTGAGCTCCGAGCACAAACTCGAACGAGCGACCAATCCAGTATGTATAGCAAAGCACCTCTAATCCCTGCGCTACATGTGCCCCGACGTAGTATAGAAAACAAAAAACTAGAAATCACTAATCTCCGACTTCATGAATTATAGTCTCTTACTTCACTTTCACATAAAAACAAACGAAAGAACATGCTTTTTCCTGGAAAAGGGTAGAAATGTTTTCCTTTTTTCAGGACCATATGTGTTGGCTGGAGTGATTAGTTGGGGAGATGGATGCGCTCAGAAGGGACAACCGGGTATCTACACGATGGTCACACCATATTTATCATGGATAGAAGGCCTTATTGTGACAGTATAACACATCACATTGGTTCCACATAGAGTAGAAGCTGTTGTAACGAAGAAGAACAAGTAAAGTGGCTTTAATGGCTACCAAACATCTTTTTGAATTGTTCGGCTTAGTCGAGGTTGTTATAAAACGTTTATTCGAGCGACATTACAGCGCGTCCGATTTCTTCAGTGCACGAATGCTCACATAGGAAGAAGGAACGGCTGTGGACAGTCGATTGGTTCCGGCTTCGAAAAAGACGAAGACGTCGGATAGTGGGCAGGATAAAAATGATACAAGAACTTTGTGAAATCTGAACAATTCAAAAAAAGTAGATTATTTACACAAAGGCTAAGCTGAAATTGCTCCACAAAAGTATTCAACGATTGTCTACGTGACTCAATCAGCTCGCATTTTGGTCCTCATACTGTGTCTTGCACTTGATGTCTCAGTAAACGTTTCGGGTTTTTGCTTAGTTTTGTTGAAATTCAACGGTTGTTGTGTCTTCGTAATTAAAAAAAAACGATCCTCGACATTCATAAATAACAGCACAAGTCGTAAAAAAAACTTTTATTCCCAATTGAGTATAATTAAGCTATAATGTTAAAAGCTCTCTGCGTTATCTATCTCTGGGGGCTGCGCCATGCATTCTGTTTCATTCATGGCATTGCAAGAGGTGACCGGGTGCACAAACTGGGCCATATAGTGGGCCATACTCGCTGTGGCCTACCAGGGCGAGGGGAATCCATCCCACGTAGATTGTACGGCCGAACACTGCGCTACACGCGCCGTTATTAGACTACAGAAGTGAACAAACACCCTTGATTATCGAAATTCCATTTTATTAACCTTGCTTGACCCGACATCATATATTGTGGGGATCTCAATTCTTTTATTCGGTTAGTTTCCTGATATAAATCATTCACGAAGGTGTTCGGCATTTTTCTTGTGCGTTCGACAAACTACTTGAGTACTTTGGTTCTTCACGGATTTTGTTGAATACCGATCAAGTCAATTCAATCTGAAATCCTGTGATGGTTTTAGTAGAGCGATCTTAAGTTTTCACCACAAACGGTAGTCTGAATTTCTAGATCGACGAGCGGCTTCTTCAAGCAAGTCTGGTACCAGTTCATCAAAATCAAAAAGGGATAGGAGCCTCGATTGACCTGGCTCGGAGTGGAACTAGAAGCCACGCAGATATTACACCCGATCTGTAACCAGCGCACTACATGCACCCCTTGGGTTGAATTATGAGCTTTTCGACAAAGCTGTAACCAAAAGTTACACTAAAGAGAATGACTACGAATTAATCAGGTCAACTGCACTGTGTAACGCGATTTTGTGTGTTTAGTCGCTTTTGGATTTCAATGCTTACTCTTGCCATCTTCACTACAACCAATTCCATGAACACTTTCGACCTCTTCGTTTATTGGAGAGCAGCAAACAGAGAAGTAAGAAAACGCCTGAGGTCAAACTGTTCAGTTTGGGAAATGAAAAAAACTATTGGCTTTGTTTTGTCTTACTAAATACGAAACAAATGGCGAAGGTGAAAGTCTGCATTATCCCTTGCCCCGCTAGGTGTACGCCTCCACTTCGGTGAGTCGCAATCACGTGCGCTTCTGGAAGGCACTTTCTAAGCGTTGACCGATATAGCCTAGCCCAAATTGCTTGATCAATCACACATGCAATGGCTGCTGAAATTTTTCTTTCCAAAAAAAATTCACGTGAGAAGTTCAAACCTTCGATGAAGGACGGTGAAGGGATACATTTTCGAGGGGTTTCCTCTCTCGAACCATTGTTTAGTAGCCACCTCTGTGAAATTGAATTCTAAAAAGGTCGGCGCATGGCAGTAGCGAAGAAGTAGGATCGTCCCAGTACATCAGTCTCAACGTTCCAGAAAACCACGCTTGACCCGGTCAACTACTGTGGAAGAAAATAGCGTACCGCATTCTACCAGTGAAGTCTGGGTTCCACTTGCTAATCCTAAGAGAATGAAAGTCCTGATTAGTTAAATACATAGGATCTTCCCAAAAATCACGCATATATTTTAAAACAGCGCCGACCACTACATTACACACACCCAAAAACGACCCTGTTCGGAAATTCCACTGCACGACCACCTTGAGACTCCATCCGAACACTCAAATTAGTACCACGCATGGAAGTTTCTAGATTTTTCTACAACAAGCCGATCAACTTGCAAACAACTGGTATAATGGTAACTTTGTATTTACCACCTACTACAATTTCTCACGTCAGGGTATTATGTGTGGTACAACCACAACGGTGCTGACATATTTGTAAAACACCGGACGGCAGGTCTCTGTGGTGGAGATCGAACACGTTATTACCCTCTCCCGGGGCTAACGCGTTCACCACGACACCATGCGGGTCGTTCGTTTCCGCTTACTCTTTCTTTCTTATTGGGGTTGTAACTCATATAACACCTTGTCGTGAAAAATTGTAGTAGGCAGTAAACAAAAAGTTAACGTTGTGATTTTGACTACATCCTCAGCTTTTACATTCAGTGCTTATTTGTGCTCTCCAGATCAATCCCATTGAAGGATGACTGCTGATGGCACTGTTAGATAGAAAACTAGCTGAACTACAGGCGAAACGAAGGACCCGCATGGCGTGGTGGTGAAAGCATTAGCTCCCGGAAAGGGTATTAACGTGTTTGATCCTAATCATAGAGACCTGAGTTCAGGATTTCTGCAAATACCTCACCAGTACTGTGGCAATCTTCATATCTTATTTGCAATCATAAAGAACGGAAACCATGGGCGCGATAGCCTCGTAGTTCACATGACAGTGCAAAGTTCACAGAGATCTGCTAAACTGTCGATGCTTTCCCTCATATGTACCGTTTACTTGGGGCGAGTGTAGCGCAGTGGTTGGAGGCGCCCTGAAATACAGATGGGATCAATCCGGCGCTCCAGCCCCATCTAGCCTTCCATCCCTCCGGGGTCGTCAAGCTGGTACCATACTTGTCTGGGAGGATAGCGGCATTGCCTCGATACATCGGTAGGTCACCGGGAGTCACTGTAATGGCCAGATTCAATCACCTCCAAACGATGCTCGATGAAGTAGAATGCATGCCGCATTTCCCAGGGATTGCAACGCCTACAGCTTTATCTTTTATCTTCCTACCTCCTACTTAGCCAACACTTGATCTCTCCTCAGTCCGCACAAAGAACCCACACGAACTCAACCACAGTACCAGTGGATCAACGCATGAGGCTAAAAACTGCACCGCAACGCCGCCGCACCGCGTTCGACAGCAATCTTGTGGCGCACACCGTGCTCATCTGAGCGAGATATTGTCGCCTACATCTCTGTCATTCAAACAGGCACCATGGATAAACTGCAGGTTAGCTTTAAACTCGTATTTGATTGTTTTTCATGCTACGGCATTGTTCTCTCTGTCTAATTTTGCAAGTCTTTTTGGAAATTATTTCCTAAAATTCACTCTTTTCTTGACGAGCAGACACGAGGTCGGTATTGTAGAATTTATTAGCACACAATGGCTGACGTTTGGGCGGTTTCGCCTTCTTCAGAGCTCTCAATGGTTAAATTGACCTGACAAACACTTTGATAGCTTCAGCAGACAAAACGTAACATAACTTTCCATTCGCACGACGAACAGCTTCGTTTAAGCACTCACCAACAAAACAGTAGGTGTCTCACCAATTCAATTTAACCTTTCCAGGCTCTGAAGAAGGCAAAACCGCTTAGAGGTCGGGTATTCCGTATTAATAAATACTGTAATTCGTGTTTGCTCATCAAGAGAGGCGGTGAACTATTGATGAGTGTCGAGGTTAAAAGAAAGTCGGTCTTGCGATTTCCTAAAATCTCTACGCGTTGGGCGCTACGGTACTCTCTTGTCAAAATTTTGCCGCCCTTAATCAATTTCTCTCTTTTGAATATTGCTTTCATTTTTTTAAAAAGGTCTATTACCATTCTTCCGTGACTTGTTGATGTCCTCCATTCTTCTTTGAAATGTAGCATTTTTGTTCATAATTAAGAGGTGAGAGGTTTCATAAGGTGGGTTGAAAACAATGAGACCCTAGGAAATAGATGCAAATATCACTTTTAATCTCGTGTTTTTGGTACACGAGGAGAATGATGGAGAAATTTTCTTTAAGGGTGGCGATTGGAACAGCTTCTTCCACAAATTTGAAGCTGTCGCTTCCCAATCCACGGCGAACGTTTCGCGCCCATCGATCGTCGACGACAATGTGCCGCTTCCAATCATTCGTAAGTTTCTTCATTTCCTCTCCTAACAATGGTTAAACTCTCAAAGGTTTACCGGCTCATCGCGGCCGCGAGATGTTCCTGGGTGTGGGGCTGGGATGTACAACGGTGGGATTCATCCCCCCGGTAGGGTTTCCGAAGCTGAGAATGAGTACGTCGTTTCCATCAGGAAGCCTAACTAAGAGTAAACCAATACCACGATCCACCACCGTCATAGTATAAAGCTAGTCGCATAGTAGCAAATCTCCTGCTCAGCAAGAGTGGCGACTGTCTGTGGTGTTGACGAACTGTGGCAGACTTTGGCCAGGCTGATATTGGGACTCCAGAGAAACACAATGGCTAAACCAGTAAACTCTGAAACAATGGAAATCATGCTGGGACCCACACAGCCAGTGAAGACGGGCCATCCAAATCTCCAAGTTTGATTTTAACACGTTGGATTACTGTAAAAGTGTCTACTGACCCATTCAGCAGTCTTTTTCTTGTTAAAATTTGTTACCCTCACTCAATTCAGGCGGCCATCACTTTGACATTGCATATCAGGAGTCCATGGACGAACATGTTAAGTGCCAGGTAACAGTTTTTCCCAGCTTACTGCTTTTGTTTGGTTCTAAAATAGCACAAAAAAGAGTGTTACTAGAGAATTTGATGTTATCAATTAGTATTCACTAAATTGAGTGGAATCTGTGATATAGATTGGTTTTCAAGGCTTTCAGACTTAAGTTTGGTGGTTTTATCATTTGATTTTTCTTATAAGTCAAATTATCTGTATTCCGTTCATGGTCCAACGGTTCGAAAGAGTGCTTGTGAAGCTGACTGTGCCCCAGAGGAGCGGGTGCATCTCTGGTCAACACTCCGGATGCTCTCCAAGCGTCTTGTTTTCGGCTCAGCCATGGGTACGGCGTGGGACTCTCGGGGTACTTTCGATGCTGGGGCTGAGCTAAGTGGAGCAAAGGATCACTTCAGTGGGTGATGTATTCCTCTTTGTCACGCGTAAGTGTTATTAATGGGACCAACTTGTGTGGGAAACAGAAAAAATACACTTTCTGTATGAACGCTTCTATTTTAATGTTTTCACGGAAGTGTACCTGCGGCTAAATTGTTGGTCTATCCCGAAGAAGATGTGGTACTTTGTTACTGGAGATGGCCATGATGTCTCTACTTACCTTTTATTCACTTTATAGCGGGATTTCTGCTGAATCGAAGCGGTAGGTGGACTAAATGTTAACGCGAGCACATCTGCCTACGCATCTGTGAATATAGTGACCAATACACGGAAATTGTAAGCTACTCTAGCGATGCAGTGACAAGGAGCCCTTCTCCTCATTTTATGTATGTCGATAAGCCAAAATACCTAGTCGTTTCTAGTACATCTTTTAGTACATGAGAACGCCCAGTGTATCCTGACGATTGCCTGATATGAGGCGGGCCCATTGATTCAGTACACATGGATTGTTTGTCAGTTGGTGCTATTTTTTGATCCCGTTTAACATAGAATATAAAGGAGCGCATGTGGCGTAGTAGTAGGAGGCGCCCTGCAATGTACATGGGATCGATCACCGTGCTGCAGGTTCACCAAGCGTTCCATCTCTCCTGGGTCGGCAAATTGGTACCAGACTTGTCCGGGAGGATACCAGCATTGATTCGATACATCGGATTGCGGATCATTCTAAAGGCCAGATATGCATTCAATCGCCTCCAACAATGCTTAATGAAGTCGAATGGATGGCGCATCCCTCAGAGATCTATTTGATCAACGCCAAGAGCTTCATCCTTTTTTTTTTGTAGAATATGAGGTTTTATACAATGCTTAGGTATGTGGAATGCTGCTTCGTCGAACTATGTTTGCTGCACATATCCGACAACGCCATGCCGAGCTTTGTCCGCCATCTATGTCCACAGACGATGATTCTGGAAGGCATTCAGGCATCGAGTCACCTGACATTAGCAGAAATCCGAGGTACTCTCCTTTTCATCTTCTCACAACCTTATACATTGTGTTTTTTTCAGTTTTCCATTTTCTCCTAAATTAATGTCTCCTCCAGTTGACAAAGATTCAGCCCAATTAACATTCAATCTGGTAAGAAACTATGTTTTCGGACTTTTGCTTGTATTTTCATAGATTCCAGAAAATGCGAATTGCTACAGAGTTAAATAAGTAATGGTTTAGAAAGGTCACCGAAAACACAAGCGCCGAAGAACGAGGCGCGACCGGCGTATTGACGACATATTGAGTTCTCCAAAGGACAGTAAAATGCACAGTCTTTCAAGGATTGATCCTGGGTACGAAGATAAGGTTTTCTGGCGATTTGATGATCGACCTGGTCCATCAACTCAACGTGCCACACCGAACTTATTGGAAACGTCGACGCCATCTGCGGGTTTATTGAAGGTTGTGTAACTGTTTATGGATGTAGAATGCTGAGAGTAAGGTGATAATTGTGTTATGACAGAACAATTTAAGGAACCCGAACGTTGTGGGAGTAGTGACAGTGTGATAATACGCCTTTCTCCCAACCTTAGCGTTCGAGCTGCACTTACGGAATGCGACGAAAGTTATAGGAAGAGGAGAAAAAAGAAGACCTGGCGCAGGTCTAAGAGGTTAGTGTGATTCCTTCGTACATTACTTCAAGGTAGAAGAAAATGTAGTTTGCTAGATATCATGCCCCGAAACACTGATATTTCGCTTGCCATCTGCTTTGCCACATTATCAGTAGTTGTTGAGCATACTGAATTTCGTACGAGTCATACGAGCCTGAAAGTAGTTGAGCATTTGAACTTGGTACAGTCATATATCAGCTCATAGTAACGTTCAGTAATTAAAATGAAACCGTTGAGCGCAGATCTAGCAGTGCATAACTTCTCTTATGATCTGATGATGAAATTCTGGTCTTTGGATGGTGTGAGACATATTCTCCCGCTTTTTTCATCAGTGCTCATATCTCGTGCTTTGAAGCTACTGAACAGGCTTAATTTCACATTGCTAGGAGCCATCGTGTTATTGTATCGTTAATGTTTTCAGCCGCCGAGAAAGTTTGGAAATTCAATTTTGCGTCTTAAATTACTTGGAAATTCTAGTTTTATTTAATTTAAAGTTATAGTAATGTCCTTGAAAAACCATTTGCAAAATTTTGGCGGTGAAGCGGAATGTTTTTTCTATAAGCATATAAAATTTGTAACCTGGCAGCTATTTTACATACCATATATGTGTACATATATATATATATATATGTATATGTATATATATGCCTACGTAATTCTACGTATTCCTTATCGTGGTTGGATGGGACAAAGAAATCTGTGAAATTCGTTGCAAGAAGGTTTAGGTCAAATCACCAATCTATTTTGCAGACGAGAGCATGAGCCTGAACGATCTTCTTCATCTCTACGCTCACGAGCTATACCTGTTGTAGAACCTCTTCGTCTCAAGTTGAGTTCTGAGCGATCTTGCGTTATAGGTTAGTTTTAATATGGCTAAGAATCTGGGTTTTTAATTGAGACCTGCCAGCAGCTCATTTTCATATAAATATGAGTATTTCCAGAACGTTCTGCGCGATCTCACAGCTCCCCAAGAGAATCCTGCCGCTCTGTTGACGAAACTTTACAAAGCGGAAAAGCTAGTTCGGGAACTCGTGGTTACCCATATGCACAGAAAGATTCGAAAAGAAGTGCTTTTACGGAATTGATCCCATCACATTCTTTTAAACGGTCGGTGACCCAATATACCACCTACCAAAGTTCTGCTACTGTTTCGTCTGATATTGTTGACCCAGCGTCCGTTACTGTCGGGCAACCAGCCGAGCGTGCAGAAGCTGAGCCTAATAGGCTTCTCCTTCACGTTTCCGATGTAACTACCGTTTTTTCACCACCACTACCACTGATATATTCCCAATCTCAAACATCAGCTGAGCGTGTGGTGACTTCAAATTACAAGGCGCGACTTGTTCAGCGAGTTGCTACAAAAACTGCTTTGTTGGATCGAGAAGTGGCACCGTTGGATCCCATTGTGAAGTCGGCTCCAACTTTGGAGTTTGGACCTGAAGAACCGGTAGCTCTAAAAGGTCATGCCGAAGACCATGAATTACTAGAAACTGCTGAAAATCAAAGACTATTATCTCAGCGGAAATTAAAGCAGTCATCGAGTTCTCAGGAAACATGGGAACCGCTAGGAATAAAGAGCCCGGCTTATGGGATTGTCTTGCCCGTTGCATCTAGGCAAGACAACGACGCTGACGACGCAACAGTGGGTTTCCTCACATCTTCACCTGAACCACTGTCAGAAGATGACAACTATATAATAAAGGAGGAAGTCGAAGAGCTCCAAGAGAAAGTGTTGGAAGGAGAAGAGTCATCTTGGAGAAATTCACGCCAGCGTTTGAGACAAAGCCTGTTGGTGAGCTCTGAAAGTTCTGATACGGATCGGAGGACAATTATCACCGTTGACGAGGATCATCCTGATCATAGATCAAGTGATTTCGATGCTGATGTGCAAAAATTGTCATTAGAGCTAGCTGAGCTTTCATATTCATTTGATCCACAACAGAGTTATAAGGCAGATCGTAACTTGGTATTCACAAGGAAGACTTCGATTGATATTAGCGATAGTAGTGACGTTGAAGCATCCGACTCTCAAAGGATTAACACTCGGCTAGTGCATGAAACTGAGCAGGGTGGGCTTCAAATTGAAAGTTCCGTCGAAAAGAGCTCATGCCAATCACCCATACACGTTTCTGTGTTAGATGAAACTTTTGATTCAGTGATAACTCATAAGCGAATACCCGAATACAATCGATCGCAGGAGTCTGGTGAAATGGCCCTCCATCCTTCCATAGAAAATTCTAATTTGAAGCAGAAGTTTGAATCCTCTATTAGGAGCCGTGAACCAACCATCGATACCCAGCAGTTGGAAGCCGACACCCAACAGTTGGAAGGTCAAGTGAGAGTATTGTCTATCGAAAACGATGTCGAGGAGGTGTCAGAACGAGTTACTGTTTCGTCATCTGTTCAGGATGTTGAAATGGATATACAAAGTTTGGTAGGTGTAAGCGATAGCAATGAACAGTGTGGGGATGTTTTCGTTGAGGGCGTAAATGAGAGGTTACATCTACAGGAAGGAGACGGTGGTAGTTTATATGATGAGGACTATTCTGAAGACGATGAAGAATTAGTAAGTCTACATGAAAGTTCTGTGTCGAATTATCCTACATTTGATCAACAGTCTGTATATAAGCAAGTACTTGAGCAACCAGTACCATCTTTAACGACACAAAAAGCAGTTCATCGAGATCCAATTGCTGCCACGCAACCATTACACCTGTACGAAACAGTACACTCTGAGCCGTATAAGCACCAACAAATCTCTGGAGGGTGTGCAAACTCTTTTCATGATATTGTGGGATCTCGCGAATTGAGTGTTCAGACGGTTTTTGCAAATAATCATGGAATGTTAATGCAACATTCTGAACCAAATTTTCAAAGTCGTAAAGATAACCAATTCGAAGCTGGTTCATCTAACGAGAAACCTCTTGTATCTGTGGGATATCTAATGCAAAAGAACGAAAATCTTCCCCATTCTTTTCCTTTACATAGTGGTCGCAAACTATATAACTTTTATGACGCTTCACAACATCAAAAAAGTCAAGTGCAGCACATTGAGGAAGTAGGTAGAAACTACTCGTGTTATCCAAATGTTAGCTATCAAAGTGAACCGATTTGTGGGACAGTTCATGAAGAACACCCTCGAGGGGTACCGCAAGAGATCATTCACCATCAAATTTTTAAGGGTCATCGTAGGTACCAGGAGCAGCCGATGCATTCACATCGACATGCAGTTGGTCAGCATGATGTAAATACTACAAGAACTATACCAAGAGAGAACGGCCAAGTGCCGCGCAATCATGTTCTTCAAGTAACCTCTCCGTGGAAACATTCGCTACTGTCACAAACTGATTTTCAAGGTGCACCACTGCAGAATTTCTATACTCAGCATCAGAAGTTACAAAACGACCTGCAACGTCAACGGTTTTCATGTCATCAACCGCAAGTATTATCTGAGGAGGTGAATGAGTTCATGCAGCGAAAACAACCAACAGAACTCATGGAAGACGAGATGAGGGCGATGCGATATATTTATTTGATGAACGAGCAAAGAATTGCAAAAAAGTTATTGGCTCAATCAGACCGAAAAATTCAAAGGCCACTGAATCCACCTGCAAATTTGATGTGTTTGTTTGAGCTTCCTCCAATTCAAGTGGAACCGACAGCAATACCCGAAGGAGTGTCGAGAAGAAGAATGCAGGTGCTTGTGAAATTTCAGTTATTAAACTTTGTTTGCTTAATTTGATTTTCTGATTTTTAACCAACTGCATTTTAGAGCGGTGTTATTCTGAACAAAATATATGTTGAATTTGTATTGCTCATCGTAAAAGATAAAACAGTAGCGAGCAGTCATAATTCAAAAGCAAATTAAATTTTTGTTAGTCATTGGAACTATGAGTTGTTAAAAATAGCCTTTTGAATAGTAAGGAGGAAGTAGTTCCTAAAAGATATGCCATGCATTTGACTTTACTCACCATCGCTAGAGATGATTGAATACATATCTGGCCTATACAATAGGTTGCGGTGAACTAACGATCTATTAGGTCAGTGCTGCTGTCCTCCACAGGTCTGCGTCGAAGAGTTTGCGGCGCGGAATTGAATCTATGAGTGTTGTAGGGCATCTCTTACTATTTTGTTACATTTTTGTTTATGGCCACCAATTTTAGCTGCCTTTGGCCAGAGGAAAGCAACAAGTAGCATATCGAGCATTATCTTGGCATAAGTGGACTCTAAGCTGGGAATCTCATAGGAATGAATTGCTGCTCATTTAACATATGTTCTGATGTCGTACCATCTCTGTAGATCGCATTTTGACAGTCACAGTGAGGAGACAAAATCTTATGACATCCTTTTACACTTAGTTTTTCCAAGGATTCCGCATGAATTTTAGAAATGTATAAACCAAGTGTAATACCATGTGCAATAGATGGCAGTTTAGTAGATGGTTTTGTTGTTTTTTAAATTCAGTGTTTCAGGAACAAATCCTTCCACCTTACTACCACGCCCAGTTCGCCGTCAGGAATGGTCCGTGTGTTTCTCCGCTTAATTCTGTAAGTGAACAATGCGACGAGATCCAGATTTTGCACGAAGTTATGAACCTAGAACTTCTTGAACCTCTTGCGACATTAACAGTGCCGCCCAAAATACAGAGTAATGTTGTGGAACCACAAAGAAGTCGCAGTGCATCACAGATCGAAGGACCGCATCCAGTTCCAAACACTTCTGAGATGAGGATTCCAAATAGGGATATCAACATGTCGCCAAGAAGTGAATCGGACATGAGTGCTGATGAAGTTCTGGATTTAAATAGTGAGCAGTCTGTTAGGGATAACTCGGACGACTCCACTGACAGCGAAACAATTCGAAGAAGATGGGATCTGAGTCCAAGTGTTTCCCCACTCACGCTAGAGGCCCTTACTTCAGACGTGAGCTCTCCTGAGGGATCTGATTCAAGTGATGACCAGCCCGATGTTCCAGTTTGGTCAAAAATGTCGAGAAAACACGCTAAAATAGCTATAGCGGTATGCAGAAATATGCCAAAACGCTTCCAGTCACTATGTCGACGTTTCGTTTGGCAACAGGGCATTACGTATTTGTTAGAGAACTTTTGTCTTCAAAAATGGGAGATTCGAGAAGACCATGATGCAGAGTCAGTGTGGTTCTTTGACAGAGATTTCAATCGGCGATTCAAACCTTTTGAGATGAGGGCAGGGTGTCTATCCGAGATTTCTGGTACTTCAACGAAACCGAATATTAACGTATTCTACGGTTTCAACATTTGCGCGGACATACCGATAAAACGCTGTCGGAAAACCGTTAGGATCGAGGATAGAACAAGTTTATCGTTAAGTTGGTGAGTAATATTCGATGTTGAGAAAAGTTCAGAAGTTCTTGACGTACTAACTATCGAACACATTCAACTGTAGCCCTTCTCAGTGTACTCTGTCCTTTTACGGCTAAACGGTAAATTATCTATTAGATGGCATTATAAGTAGTTAAACAGGTAAAGAACAGGTTAGGAAAAAAGTCGATTAATATTTCTCTCAGAATTTTATAACCTTGTTGAATTGCAATTTCACGTTACGACATGATTGCTTAGATATTCATATGGCCTTCTCGTGCGAACAGAAGCATTTTTTCATTCGTTTCTTTTTCACTGGTTCATCTTCCATAGATCTGCTCGAGTTTGTCAATGGCTTGTTGGTGTTCCATCCACAAAGACGTTGACTGTTGGTTAAACGAACGTGGTTTCGTAAGGACCCTGAGGTAGTCGTTCTAGGGCTTTACGATAGGTATTTCAATTAATGCAGCGCGATCTGCCTCCGAAGAAATCAAACCAGGTTCTCCGTTAGTATGGTACTCCTTTTCATCCGTAACCCTATTTGCTTGTGCTATCGAGTCCGCCAATGGATGTCTGCTCCTCTTCGGTATTCTCGTTAGCAAAACGATGGTTGTACGCACTCATCATTCATCGCGTAACCTTCCCTCAATCGAATAGCTCTGTGCACCAATGTAGTGCGCTTTTAAATAGGTGTAGCGATATAGCGGTGTCGCTTTGGTGTATACTTTTATTTACTTGGACAATGGCCCGTCCTCACTGGTTGTGCGGGCCCCAAAATAATTTCAATTTTTTGGAGTTTCGCTTGTTTAACTAATGGGGTTCCCTGGAGTCCTGAGGTCAGCCTAGCCAAAGTCTGCTCGAGCTCGTCACCACCACAGGTGGTCGCAGCCCTTCTGGATCAGGTGGAGATTTGCCACCATGCGACTAAGTTAGTACCAGGACGGTGACGGATCTTGGTATTGGTTTACTCTTAGCTTGGCTTCCTGATGGAAATGCCGGACTCGTTCTCAGCTTGGGAAACTCTGCTTAGGGGATGAATCCTTCCGTTGTACATCGAGGCTGACACCCAGGAACACCTCTCACCGTAAACCGTCGCAAGAAGTGTATACCTTTACTCATTGGAATAGTGAATGATCGGTGAGAAAGCTGTGTTGTTTCAGTACTCTGACTGTTGCGAGTACCAAGCGTTTTTTTGTAGTGTGCATAATATTACCTTCAGACCTTTACATTCTTCGAGTTTTTCGATGTGCATGAGCTCCATGAGGAAATATTTCCCGCGAAATCTTGGTTGCTGTTTGATTCATTATGTTCTGCTTTGTCTCAGTTCTTCGAGATGTAATGCTCTAAGTTGATAGAATGATATTTATCGAAGTCGCATCTGTTGATCATTTTTGCAAAAGGTTGACGCAGGATGTCCTCTACTCTTTGGACCTTTATTCAAAGTGTTCAGAGCTCTCCCCCCACCAATTTTCTGTTTCCTGTTTCAATGTTTTTGCTTGACAAACGTTTCCGCTTCCGGCTTGTTTTTGAGCTAAGAATTTGCTTCGCACGAGTTCGAAGGCCTCCTAACTTTCGTCACATTCTTCCGTCATTTCTTCGCCCTTGTTCCAGTTGTAATAAATCAAAAGGCGCTATTGATAGTTCATATGTTATATACGGTTGCGTGCTCCTTATGATGACTGGAATTTCTGCTTTATATTCTGGTTACCGCGAGCCTTCACACAAGAAAAGACAGTAGTCCTATCCGACGCCAAGTGCGAAACACTGTCATAGTTAAGTAGACATCAATTCCTATTGTCAAATGTGGAACCGACGTGCGAATTGTTTGCACCCTTTTTGACTCTCATGTTTAGCGATGATGTTTTATTATATCAAGGAGACGAGCAGCGAAGAAGGTTCTGGTCCGAAATTTCTTATTCTTGTTCTTTTGTCTTTTCTATTCTTCCTTTGAGGTAGTTTGGTCAGGCTCCTATAGGTCGTCTTCCGAGTGATTACCCTTTTATTCCCAACTTCATAAAGCGAGATTACACCATATTTGGTATGATCTACGGAATAGAAAAAAAACGTGGTGGCAATGGTGTAAAGGAAGTGCGTTGAAGTTTTCTATCGAATAGCCGACGTTCGCTGACCTTTGTGCATTAAAAGGAAGTTGGTCGAGTTACTGTAAGATTTCTAGAACGGCAACAGTTTCTCTTGCTGTCCACCAATGGCTCGTCAGGTATGGTCTCAGAAACAGCTCGAGTCCAGCCTAGGGTGCGGCCATCCTAATTATCTGTTGTGTTCCTAATAGAATATAGTTGCTTATTCCTTTTTTAATAGAAGTCCTTTTTAATAGAATGTTTGGTAACATTTTTGAGTTATGCTTATTCGTCAAGCATCTTATTGTGCATGTATTATTCCTAAGTGGTGGGAAAAAATTATTCCGGTTGAGGTAAAGCTTCCCAACGAAGTACCGAAATTGCTTGATGAGACTTACTGAGTGTGTGAACCCGCGTTATCATGAAGTTGACCAATATAGGCAGACTAGAACGATAGTTCTAGATGTCAGGCTCTCATAATGCATCATTTCTTCCAAATCTCACCAACAAAGAGCATTCTTCTGGTGGTAGCCCCATCTCAGCTCACATGTTGATAATTCTTCATGAAGATCCACTACCAAGGCACCAACGCTTTGATTTAATAAACGCAGAGCGCTCAGATAGCATTGTCGCAGACAATACTTGGACATTTGGATACTTGGATGGCTCGTCCTCACTGCTTATGTGGGCCCAGCCTAGTCTCCATGGTTCCAGAGTTTTGCTGGTTTAGCCACTGTAGTTCAATGGAGTCCTGAGTTCAGCCTAGCCAAAGTCTGCCCTAGGTCGGCACCGTCACAGACAGTCGCCGCTCCGTTGTGAATCAGAGGGAGATTTGCCGCCATGCGACTAGTGTGATACCAGGACAGTTGTGGATCCTGGTATTGGTTTACTCTTAGCTGGACTTCCTGATCGAAACGCCGGACTCCCTCTCAGCTTGGGAGATCCTGCTGAGAGCGAATCCCCCGCTGTACATCGCAACTCGACACCTAGGAACACCTCCCAGCTACTATGAGGCGGTAAACCATTGAGGGGCAATATCCAGCAAAACGTTGTTTCTGTACAGATGAAAAGCAATGATTCACAGACACTGGTGCAACTTTTTAAGAGTTTGTAGGGAATCCGTGAAAGAAAAATAATTGCAGGGACTGCTGCAAAACTTTGTTCTTCACTTCATTTCGGCTCCAGGTTTTGTCTTGTCGTGAATTTCTCGTCTTCAACTATTTATGTATCATTTTTAATATAAACTGGCTTTTTATTTTAGCAAAGAAATATTAAGAGACGTGGAGACAACATGTTCTGAGTCTGAAAGCTTCGATGAGTATGTTTTAAATACCTTGTAATTTCTCTGTTCTCATCTGTGTATTATGGATACATCCAATTCTAATCTTCTCAGGTCAGAAGGCACTTCAACCGAGTTCCAAGATTCCAGTGATGATGATAGTTCATTTGACAGTACCTATTCGTAAGTGACTTTCTGATATTTCGTTTTCTTTTGTGTAATGAAAGTCATTTTAGCAGTGGCAGGAAAACTTGTCGTGTTACGGTTCCATTAAGTCGTCCTGTTCATCTTCCACAGAGATTATCATAGTGGGGATCTCTTTAATTTTTATTCTGTATGCAGCTTAATGGAATAAACTTTTTTCAGTGAAAAGCAAGAGTTTATTGCGATGAGTTGCTGCAAGCAGTTTCTTCAACAAATGGTTGCACGTAAGAAAGGCGACTTTTTCACGTATGTTCTCCATTACGCTTTAATGGATAAGTCGTTGAAGAAATCTTATCAACGCCGATAACCTTCTCGCTTTCATGCTTCTTAAATTTGTTTTTAACCAGTGTGGTGTAAAAAGCCTAAACTTCTGAAAGGACAAGGTTCAGGTCTTCTGGTAGAAGTGCTGTTCAAGTGACATCGATTTTGGCTCAGCTATTCCACGAACATCGTTCTGCTTACGAGCTAATGATTGCGGATATAATTCCTATACCTACACCAGATCAACGTGAAATTCCATTTTCTGATGATGCGGAGTGGGTGGCAGCGCGTATATTAGCCATCAATCGTGCTCAGAACAGGTTGTTTGTTCCATGTAAGTGATTAATACATACCACCCATGCTGATTTTTTATAACTACTGCTAGCACTAGCTGAGAGACAGGCGAAAAGAAGGATCCGTACGGTGTGGTGGTAAACTCGTTACTCCCCGGAAAGGAAAACAGCGCGTTCGTTCGCCACCTCAGGCACCTGCTGTCTGGAGTTTTGCAAATCCCTCAGCATCATTGAATGTTAATACCGTTGTAGAATGGCGATGTCTTGGTTGTGAAATTTTTGTACAGCTCACGAAGAATCTTTATGTACCGATTAGGAACTCCCTGATCAAGGGCTTCCAAGACTGCTATCTCAACTGAATCAAAGGCCTTGTGTAAGTCGATGAAAGTGAGACAGAACCGTCTTTTGCACTTTCGTGATACTTCAATGAGTCTTGTTACCACGTGGATGTGGTCCATCGTACGAAATACTTTTCGAAACCCTGCTCGCTTATATGGATGCTCTTCGTCTAGTGTTTTGTCAATTCTATGTAGGATGACTCGAGTGAAAAGTTTGTAGACGAGACGCAGCAAGCAGGCTGGGCGATGGTTGCCGATATCGTGCAGGTCACCCTTCTTGAACAATAACACGGTCTTATTGGCCTTCCACTGAATAGGGGCCTTGCATTCAGACAGGTAACGTGTGAAGAGTCGAGCCAGTGTGATTACGAGGACTGACGGAAGGTTCTTCAGGTGTTCTCGTCTTATCCTGACTGGACCTGGTGCTGTTCGATTTTTCACCGACAAAATGCCATGTTGGATTTCGGAAGGGAGAATCGGTGGTACAACATATCCATCCTCGTTTATTTCATATGACGGAAGGTGAACATGGCTATCGAAGAGATCCGAGTAGTATTCTTGAATGATTTTCTCCATTGCCTTTTTGGACGCTGTAAGTGTTCCGTCTGGGAGTCGGAGTGCAATCATCTTGGTCTTGTAGTGGGCGAGGCTTCGGTGGGCTTAGCGAATTGTTTTCGCAGCCTCTTCGGCTTCGACCATTACTGCTACTCTTCTCTCTTTACGATCTTCTTACATCGCCTGTCTGCATTGTTTTGCCAGTTCGGACGTTAGTTCGCTGTTGCGTGCTGCTCGTGCGATTCCACGCTGGCGTATCAGCTTGAGTGTTTGTGGAGACAGACGTCTCTTGGTGACTTTCGAACTCTGAGCTTTCATAGCGCTAACGTGAAGGTTTTGAATGAGCCGATCGTTTTTGTCGTCGATCTTATGGAAAACAGCATCTTCCCAACAGCTGACTAATGTATTGAATAAATCCCAGTTTACGGTGGTTCTGGAACTTCGGTTTTGGAATTTAGCGGCTTTTTCTCCTTTCCGCGAGAAATAGAATCTTGCACGAAGGAGGCGGTGGTCTGATCCCCTGTTGAATTTTAGGACGACAGCGAGATCGGTTAGACAAAACTTTCTATTTACTATGAAGTGGTCTATTCGTTATGGTGCTCTCCACTGGGAGACTCCCACGTCCATCGTTGAGGATGGGGCTTCTGGAACTGCGAATTACCATGGCTGGTCTCGGTGGTCATGATAAACTTGAGAGCCTGTTCGTTCCGTTCTAATCCGTGGATCCCAATGTGGCGTTCTTCAGACGTTCTTTTTGATTCAATCTTGGAGTCGAAATCTCCAATGATTACCTTGAAGAATGTACGGTCTTCTCTGTAGTACTTCTCCAAGTCCACATAGAACGCTTCGACTTCGTCTTCGTCATAGTTTGATGTCGGCGCGTAAACGACGAAAATTGTCAAAGCCGGTATTGGTCCACACCATTTTAATCGTAAATGTCTGATTGGGGTTGTTAGTTGTTCGAATGAATCAATGTTCGTGGACAATGTAACGAGAACACCGACGCCCCCGACTCCTCTACTGTTGCATGTTCAGAGGAACAGTTCTTCTCCGGTGTCATAGACGGCGTTGAATGGGTGGTGTCTTGACGTCTCGGCCAGGCGGATGACGTCGTACTTTATCCTTCTTGCTTGTGTGAGGAAGTCTTCTAGAGGACTCGGTTGCAGGTGTACGTGCATTGTAGGTACAAATCGTCACCTTAGTTCTTCGCGGTCCAGGCAGCTTCCATTGGCCCTGAGATTTTAGCAACCTCTCCGTACTCATCCTACCCAACGCTGCCGGATCGGGAGCTCTTTCAGGGTCAGTGGAATCAGGCCCGTTTATTTTACTGTGTTTAACTTTTGATACCTACACATAACTTGCTGGGCTCTGAACGTGGCGCTGGGCATACTGACGGGTAGCTTGCCGGCTTGCCAAGCTCTCCCAGAGTGAACATGGAGCTTATTTGTTGGAGGCGTCTCCTAGCTGCCTTCCTTACACTTCCCTGTGACTTGATTGCAGGCTTAGGTCGAACTGACTCGTAGAATACAATCCGCCGGTAATTCTTTAATAACTACAATACGTATGAATTGGAGAGCATTAATGAGTGTATATGAGCCTACCTTTTCGCTCCAGAACTACATATTTGATTTTCTGAAGCATTTACCTTTTTTCATTTTATTTGAAGTAGATTGTCCGAAGCTTTCACAGGAAAGTGTCAAAATTTTTGATACAAGTGTACCCGTTACAAATAATAGAGAACACTGCATCTCGGTGTACGGGATCTCGGTTGTTCAGGTTCTTTGCTCAAAATGCAAGCCTGCTGGACAAAAGTATACATTCGTTGATTCGAAGAAACTAGAATTATATCAGTTTTTTCTACATATGACACGTCTTCATATCTTCTGTGCGGATGGCCTTAGATTTGCATTCTATTCTTTCCCATGCAACTATCATCTGCAAAACTCTGGACCGCAGGTGTCTATGGTGGAGAACGAACGCGCTATTGTCCTTTCCGGAGGGTAACGCGTTCACCACAACACCATGCGGGTCCTTCGTTTCGTCTGTCTCTCAACTATTTCTATCGATCTTTGCCGCAGCAATCACCCGTCAGCAGGATTGATCTGGGACGCCCAAATCGGAAAGGACAATAGCGCGTTCGTTCCCCACCATAGACACCTGCGGTCCAGAGTTTTGCAAATATCTCAGGAACGTTGTGGTTGTATTTCGCTTAGTACCCTGCAGCGAAATTATAGTAGGCAGAAAATAAAAAGGTATAACATATCATCCGCAAAGATCCTCGAAGTTTTCGCATGTGGATTCAGCTGCTGCTTAAGGATTTCCATCTTCGTTGTGAATATCGTTGAATGCTGTCGAGTCTCCCTGCAATCCTGAGATAGCCACACTGGCACGTTTACGCTTAGAGTGAACTGTTCCCAAAGACAGTATCAACTGTCCGAACCTAAGGGATAAGAGATTTTGTAAATCCTGGTTGGGGCAGAAGAGCATTGTGCTCATAATGAACGGAATCACTGCCATTGCCTTATCCGCTTCCTTCCTTTATTGTGATGCAACAATAAAACTTGTAACTTGTCGATGGAATGTGTACATTCTGATTTGTGAAAAAAGTAAAAGATGTCGATTTAAAGTAAAAGACGTTTTTGTTTTTGCGACCGTTCGTGCTGTACAGGTTAAATGTGAGAAAGTAGCGATAGCTAGCGCTGTAAATAGTTGGAAGGAGTATGATTAAGGCTTGGTGCTGACACAGAAGTTCCTTTGTTTACTGGAAATGTTTGTATCCTGTCCTATCAATATTTAGCATTCCCGCCTTGGGCAGAAATGCACAGGATGTGGAAGGTTTACGGCCATCTGCAACAGTTCGCTTCGGTGATTGGTGGAGATTACGAGAAATTTGTTAATGAGTGTATCAGTGTGGCATACAACCATTACTACAGACTGTAAGAATATTTTTAGATTCACCATTTGATATTGAGTTCAAGTGCTTTGCTTTATTTCCTTGACTATGGGATAGATTTTTTAAATTGACTGTTCTCGCTATTCAGTAAAAATGGGATTAAAGTGGCTGATAATATTCCTGGTGACCTACTTGAGCTATGCTTTGCGATAACTTCTGAACGAATGCGTGAGCACACGGAAAGCGTTGAAGCTGAAAAGAACAAACCTGGAACAAGAAGGAATGCGTCCAGGAAAAGGTAAAGTTTTGCTGATTATTGGAAATGTATTAGTATTCCTTAGCTTTTGTTTACTGTTTATTATTATTATTTCCATAGCAGGGATGATGTGAAGTGCAATCACAAGGATACCGTGATATGAGCAAAACTCGGAACTCTAGGTAAACACTGAAACCGCGGCTACCCTTTCCAGGGGCTCACGTGTTATTCATTTCACTACCGAGGTCCTTGTTTTGCCCCTCTCTCAGTTAGTTTTTTTACTTTTTACCCTAGCGGTGCCATCAGCCGTAACAATATGAACAGGTGACGGCAATTGGGCACTGAAATCAGTTAAGCTGGAGCCATAGTCAAAATCACAGTGTTTAACTTTTATTTTAAAAGAAAGGGTAAAGGTCCCGGCGTTTATCAAATCTAACGGCCGGTAGGTGGAGCAGTGGTAATGGTAGCGTTAAACAGTCGATATTCCATGGCTCCGCAGCGCAACACGCCAGTGAAGTTCCGGATTTCTTCGGTGATACCAGACTTATCTGCTCTTTTCCGACCAATCCACAAGACCTCCCTTCTGGCGGACATCTGAGAAGACGATAGCAGCACTATCCCAAGATTCCAAGGAGAATTGAATCGTCCAACACTCGGCAGTATTCATGAAGATGGCAAAATCCTCAGTTTTCAAGTGAACATCTTTCGAAATCCGAACACTTTTGTTGAATATGGATGCAAGGAAACGAGTCGAATAAAAGAAATGCTGAGATCCGCACAATATGTGGCGTCAGGTGATATAAAAAATTGCCATGCGGAGACCTAGCAGCGTAACCATTCAGTGAGTGTTCTTTATCCTCCTAAAAAAATTTGGTAGCAACTGGTACACATGACTGGCAAGATGCATAATATCAAACCTGTGACCACGTACATATTGTATGACAGCTCTAGCCAATGCGCAACACATGCTTTTAAGCAGATGAATACATGGTATTTGTTGGAAATGCCCGCTGGAGTTCTAAAAGGTCAAGTAGCGGTTGCAAATAATGCAGTGGAAATTTTCAACATTTTTTAAATAGGAGAACGGATGGAAACAATTCTCTTATTTTCCTACATCAGTCTGAAATTTCTCTATAATACAGTATCGTAATGTTGTTCTTTTAGGGTGCCACTAAAACGCCGTGAGGGATTGTCGTCGTTTCCAAGTCAACCAGCAGCAAACCGTGAGCTTTTGTCACGTTGTCGCCGCGTGTATGACGAGAAGAGGCAGACAAAGCGACGACGTTGGAATGCAATGCGTTATCTGCACAACGCCTTGCCTGGTGCTGTGATCGGTAAATAGTAATGGTTAGAAGAATAGTTGAAGGGCCAAGCGAGATTAACGTGCTGTCGTGACTGTCGCACAGTCCTATTGGCGACGTACTTCGGAAGGGGATTTTTTGTTTCCTAACTTTGAAAATAGGGTAGAATTAGAAATTACGTTGTGCATTTTATTCCCTCTTATTGATATAGTTTGCGGTTTAAAAAATGACAGCTTTCTGCCGAGTCTAGCATTTGTTTTCCAGAGGGCGAATATGTTATGAAACAATTACTGCATCGTCAGTACAAACCAAAAATCCACTGCTTAGGATTCAAAACTTCATTAAAGTTTTGAAATAGCGTCAGTTCAGCGACCTGAATACATGTAATGGAGTCCATTTAAATAACTAAAAGGTTACCAGATGCCGACTAGTTTTAGAAGGGATTGACGTATTCGATATGGCACAGCGAACAAATTTGTCTGTTGCCGGTATATTTGGTCCTGAACACAAACTTGGGCTTAATGATTTACCGTTTGCGTCAGAAATGGATAACCGGTGAGCAAAGCATTTCTGCACTTCTTTTTTGTAGATCCTGAGAAATTTATGGGTGATCTGTTTTTAATGGGCTATTTACTCTTCTCTTTGTGTTAGTAAACTCAGATATCCAGAGCTTTTTAAATATATTGCAGCAAAATCGCCATAGAAGTCCAACAGAATCAAGCCTCTTTTCTAGAAAACAAATGAAAAGAAACAAAATTTTTTTGGCAGGCACTTCACAGTGTAGATAAACAGTTTTGCAATGTTAGATTAGAGATGAGCCAGAATGTAAGGTGCAGTATTTGCACAATATTCCTACCCGCATTTCTACATAAACTTAGACCAGCCTATCTGGATATGGAGGAGCTGCTCAGTCTCATGAAGGATACATTAGCTGTTGAATTGGATACAACGGTCGATCACGAGGGGAACCTTCAGCCAAGCGTAGATTTTCTCACCGTGGTTGGTCTTTGTTGTGTATTGGAAGCTTATTACTGTTTAAAAGTCAGTCTTTCAAGTCATACTGTTATTGTTGTTTAGCGCGGGTTGCACTTTAAAGCAGTTACTGAAGGTGGCCGTTGTCATTTAATGGTATCGCCCGCATCCATTCCTGTGCCACCTGTTAAAGTGGATCGTTATGGCAACATGACGTCTATTCAGAGGGCAGCTGTTCCAAATAGTGCGTTTTCTTCCTCTTTGTTGCGTTTTATTTGCGCTAACATGTACGCGACTACGCTTAGTTTTATGTGGAAGTCCCATTGTGCCGATTTATATGGAAGCTGTACAGAAGTAACCCTTTTTTCTTCGCGTACCTTGTGCATTGAACTGAATGCATGTTGGCTTCTATGTCCCCACGAATGGCCATGCCCCTATTGTTTGCTTTATAATCCGATTCTCGCAGTATTTTTCTCCCACTGCCGTGGATCTTTATTTTCTAGGTATTTGTTATATTGCTTATGTTTTTTCTTTAATATTTTTGGAACATATCCGGGGGCACGTGAAGCACAGGTTCAGTGGCTAGAGGTGCATCGCAAAACACAGTGGATCGATAGCTGGTTTGATCCCGTGCTCCGGTTTCACCAACCCTTCCATCCCTCTGGGTTCGGCAAATTGATACTAGACTTGTGTGGATGGATAGAAGTGCTGCCGTGATACATCGGCAATCTCCCATACAGTCATTAAATGAGGTAATTATGCATTAAATCACTTTTACGATGCTTGCTTGTTTAAGTCGAAGGCATGACCTTCAGATTTTCTTGTGCTTCTTATAATATACGCCGGTTCCATACAATAAGTGTGGTTCTTAATAGCGATTCGGAATAAACAAGCAATGAAAGACGCTTTAGAGAAGGAAGAAGTTTTCATTACCTATCGAGGAATATGCTAGAGTCAGATCGGATGATGACGAAGATGATGGCAGTGAAGTAGATGTATTCGACGATTAGTGGGGTACATAGTGTGTTACCTTATGAAGGCATGATTTTCGATGATAATAGAGTTGAAGTAAAGCAACCGTTCCTGTTTGGATGCATGGAATCAATACATTTTTACGAATTGCTTACGCCTTATATTTCTTAAGTGCTTCTAAGAAAGCACAATATTTATGGACAATGGAAGGAGATGACATGGGATGGGTGCCGGACCTAGAAAAGAGGTGAAAATGTTCATTGGTTTCTGTTTTCAGATGTGAGTTGTTCAACTGCCAAAGTAGGGCGAGTTATTAGAAATTCTACTTCATTTTTTGGGTCCGATCCTCTTTATCCAAGGTAATGACAAGGTCCAGATTTGAAAGGTTGTTGGAACATTTCCACTCATGCGTTTATATATCACGCAAAAGGTACAAGCATGGATCAACAAGTGTTTACACATATGGATTATGTTGCACGCCTGTTAAGGCGACTCAACAACTGGAAGCGTTGATGGGTGGTGATGATGAAGCTCATCAACAAATTAGTATGTAGGTGTTCCTTAACTGAGAGACGGCCTGAGGGGGTAACCCATCTGTTTCACAAATGCAGAGCGAACAGAAAAGGATTACGAAAGCAAATCATGCGACCCTCTTCAACTCCAGATGTGTAATTATATCCATGCATATGACCGCCTACATGTTAGTACTGGCATTTATTACATTTGAATTCTCATCACTTCTCGTATTGCTTATTTCGCCTTGTTCACTATAGCATTGTATCCTGAGTTAATCTCACGGAAGATGCGTGGCGATAATCATGGACAGCTCCTTCGCTCACTTGAATCTCCACCTCTTTCTAATAGAGACTGTGAAATCTCTTGGGAGAGTCAGTGTCCCACTTGCTTACGGACAACGGAAAATCTTGGTATGTTTTTTTTCTAAGACAACAACTTTTATTCTTAAGTGGAAACCTGATTTAAGTGACGATATAAATTTGACTTGAAACATTGTTGTTTCCAGTCGATATGGACTTCGCTCGTACATGTCAAAAAGGGTTGCCGGAGGAGCTACTACAGAGGTTAACGGTGTCAAAGATAAGTACCGCTAACACTACGTACGGACCATGTAAAGTTCCTGAATTGTTAGTTGGTCTTATATTGTCATTTATAGTTCAGTATTTGATAAGTTAATCTGGTCAATTTTTAGATTGACGTATGAAGATCTTGCCAAGTTGTTGGTCAAATAAGTAAGTGGGTCAAGGAGGGTGATCCGGGTATTTTTATTAATGTTCAAATATTTTACAGTGTTATACGCGTTGTAATACTCTGTGCACATACACTATAAATTTTTGTATTCTTTCTTTGATGAGCTTACACGAGGTTGGTAATGATATTTATTTATTTTCGGCTAACGTTTCGACGTCTTCGTCTTCCTCAGAGCCAATGATCCGAGTCGATGGTCCATGCTTGTTGTTCGTCTCGATGTTGCAGCTTCGCCTTCGTGTCGAGTCAAGTCTTCCTCAGTGAGCGATCTTCTCGAAGAAAAAACTATAAATTTTTTTCAACTTCTTTTTGAATTTTGACCAGAATTCGACAATATACCCTATATTTCCATGCTTTTAAATTATTGAGCTTACAAGAGGTTGATAAAGCTGTTTATTTGGCTAAGGTCTCGACGTCTTCGTCTTCGTCTTCATCAGAGCTGACGATCCTTTTCGATGGTCCACAGTCGTTCCTCTTTTCGATGTTGCTTCCTCATGCTCATATCGAGTCGAACATTTCTCAGTGGAGCATCTCTCGAATGAGGCATACTGAGTAGTGCTATTTTATACAGGGCGGTTGCTGTTGATGTATCTGTCCTTCGGTAATAGTTTTTGAACGGATAATTTCCTCATTAGTTGACGGCATTGTGTTAACTAGCACATAGCAAAAACAGAAATTGTAAACTATGTTTGCTTCTTCACTTTTCCTTTATCAAAGAATAAGTGGTTACATAGAAGGTATTGGCCAAGATAAATCTATCGGCGCAACGAATGCTGATGTATGTTCTAGTCATTGGTTGAAAATTTGTTTACTGTGTAATGAAAGTGGATGGATTCCATGACTCTGTACCGCATTGGTTTCAGATGTACCATTGTTTGTGCTCGAGGACTGTAGTGGTGGCTGCGATGGATGCACCTGTGTGGTAGTGACCGTTGAGCCGCTCACTACTTAGTAATAGTTTAGTGGTGAGAATACTAGGTTGTAGTGAATATTAGGTAGTGTAGAGACTATCGACTAGTTGTTGTCTCTGCTTGACTCTCGAAAGTGGATCTGTTTCGTGATTCTTATTATTTGATAGTTCCGTAATATAGGTATTTACCCTTTGACGTTTGAAATGCTGTGAATTGCGAGTCAAGAAATAGGTGTTGTAGTTCCATTGTATTACAATTGATCTGTAGGCTATGATTGCTAAATGAACCAACGACGTGGGCTCTACGTGAGGGTTTTAGAGGCTGACTTGCTCCTTTAAATGCAGCGCCACACGATATTGAACTGCTAGCTTGGACGAACTGTATCTGCTCGTTCTTCACCACGCGGATCTTGTAACCGTTGTCTTAACGGCGTAAATCTCAAACTTGGGCAATTAAACCGTCTATACTAATATAGTAATAGCGAAAAGGAGATAATGAGTATAGTATAAGTGGCGCGGTGATAACAGAATTACCAAATAAGCATAAGACAATGAGTAAAAAGTCACCTTGAGGTAGGAGAGTAGTTGCATTGGCTATGGGGTTAATATGAGAAAGAGATTTCGTATAAAAGTACAATTTAACCTAGAAAGGTGAAGGGCATATGATAGCGCGGCACCAATGGGTGCCAGATGGTTGTTAGCGCGAATGATGTACTGTAATTAGCTACCGTACTAGTAGTGAGGGATGATGTCGAGTACAATGAGATTAATGTTGTGAGAGATAAATATAGGAATAAAATAGCTTTAACGCACGTGTTATTATTAGGATGGTAACAAGAGTAATGCGTAGCAGTGACTAGTACTGCTTGCATTTATGAACAGCCTAACCACTGAGATCTGCAATGTATAGTGAAACGGGAATGTGAAGAAAAAGACAATGCTTAAGCCAATGAGATGTTAACATACAACAAAACTACAAAACGTTGCCTAACTCTTACGGATACAATGTCATGATAAGTACGTATACTAGGGAAGGTCAGTGACTGTCTAAGAGGTTTCCTACAATGGAGTAAGGTAGAGCAATTCTATGACAAGAGGTGAACGAAGATGGCATGTGGCAGGCACGCCGACATGTGAGCTTTACCAGCAGACCGCGCTCCTTTTATACTACCTCGGGTAGCCGGCAGGTGGGTACTGTTGTTGACCCTTGCGTCGTCCTCGTATATCACAGTTATGGTGGCAAAGGCATGAACATAGTGTTCCATCTGGTATTGAAGATGTATGATATTGTTTATAACAACATATCCTTTATTCTTGACAGCCTCAATTTGTGGGTAGGTGGGTAGATGCTGCTTATCGTTGGTGACCGCTCGTATTGTGCGGATAGATGCTAATTATCGTTGAGTGACCCGCTATCGTTGTTGTTGTTGTTGTTGTTGTTGTTGTTGTTGTTGTTGCAGCTAACTCTTTGGGTCACATCTGGCTAGGCGTCAATCACTATCAGAAGATATATGGAATAAAATTACTATAGAGGATACTATTTTTTACTAGGTAATGTTTATTGGTCCACTTGTCATCAAGGACATCGCTAGTTATGCAAATGGGTCGACTATATACAACACATGCCACCCTAGGAAACACCGTTTAATCTACAAGTACGGCCATTGGGGCTACTTATAGGCCGTGTTTGATGCCACTGCATCATTTTACAGTAGTCTTAAGCACCATGAAAAGATATGTCATTGACAAAGCAGAATCGCTAAAGGAGGAGTTCGAGTAATGGTTGGTATATTATGCCTTACATAAGTGTTCACCAAAAGTTGTTTCCATTTCGGTCTTCATTGGATTGCATTCCTCTTGAAAATTGCGTTCTCAGATTTCTTGGTTAAGAGTGCTAACTGAAAAGCATTTCGTTGTAACGCTCATGATCAAGTTATGATCAGAATTAGTACTGTAACCAAGATGTACAGTAACCAAGACTACGATGATTGTACGTCAACGTGAGACGGCGGATGCATATGCATGTTCGAGAATACAGAATACAGGATACACGAGTATCAGACAGACTGGGAAACGAGCATGTAGGACAAACAAATACAGCAGAGGATTCACAGATAACGTTTTTTCGTTAGCAGAAATGTTTGTCTTCTTATGTCACCCTCCCGCAATGAGTCAGGTGGTATTCGTCAGTATTCAGTATTAGTCAGTAGTAGTAGTCAGTCAGTATTCGGTGGAAGCTCAACCATCAAATGAAGAACTGCTGTCATAGAATTTCTATCTCAAAGCAGTGAACCCGCTTCCAATTCACAGCGACTGGTGACTCCCCGGGATCAGAACTTCGAACGCTCAATCATGGTTACTTTGCGATGTTAATGCTCGAGAAGTGTTTAACATGCAATTGAGAGGTTACAAATCTTAAAGCCGAAGCTGAAATCACGCACACGAAAACTACGAGTTTCCATACCAGTCGTTATAAATTAATTGACAAATGAATGGACCTCATAGGACCTTACGATGGATAGGTGGATAGGGATAAACGAATTAAGTGTAGACGCCTACTGGACAAGATCATTTGAACCAAGTTATTCTTTGAAATATACAAAGTAGCTCAACTGGACCGGTTTGGAGAGAGAACATAGGTTGCACCTAAACGGCAGCACACGGCAAGATTTTGAAGTTCCATTCGAACGATTTACTCAGCAACGATGAATGGCACTTAAGCCTTTGATTCCGTTTTCGATGTTCTACACAACTGTGTTCATGAGGCACCGCGAAATTGTGTAATGTAATTTACAAGTTAACAACAGTGGTGGTTTTTCTAGGTTTAATGATTCGCAAGCTATTGCTTTCAATAATGAGAGAACTAACCACCACTTATTTCTATGCGGATGCCTTCTAGAGTAGCAAAAGCGTTAGTGCTTCTGATCTCTCACAGTGGAAAAGGAACATCACTTCATTAACTGTACATGCATCACAGTACAGAGAAAATGTGGAGAATGAAGTACGGAACTCGATTTATAAGTAATAAAGTGCGTTGATTTAGCTACAACATACTACACATAAGTCAAAGAGACATTTCTTCTTTCATCCGTAGCAAAATTGCCTTCCGCGGATCAGTTTGGGCCAGTCGATTAAATCTGCAATTTATTTAAAGATCTGCTATGGCATCAGTGCACTTTACTCAACCATAGGTTTCAAGCAAATACCTCCGTGTAGCATAGTCGAGGTAGAATGATGCTTTCGCTAAATAGTTTTTTGCGCCAGGTCGACGATATAGAGCCAAAATAGCGCGTCCGAAACCATCGACGATTACTGCATCAGTGTAAAACGCATGAAATGTGTGTAACGCTGCTTTTATGCAGTCTTCTAACTGGGCATCAACTTCGGTTACAACCACTGGATGTTTACACTGAAACCACTTCTCGTTTGCGATTCTGTGCCGATTGAAAATGGCTAAATCAAACGTTTTATCATATGTCACCTTCAAAGCACAAATTATTTGTTCTTAACACTTTTTTAGTTCGAATCTAATAATTCAACAGTAAAACTTCAAAATTCAAAAGTTGCATTAGTCTACTGATGCTATCAGTAATTTCAGTTAACTCGTTTGCATAAGGGCGCGTACAGCGCAGTGATCGGAGGCGCCCTGCAATACACACGTGGAATCGACCCCTGTGGCCATAACCCACCACGCCCTCCATCCCTCCGCGATCGGCAAATTGGTACCAGACTTGTCTGGAAGGATAGGCGCACTGGCTCGATACATCGGTAAGCCACTGCAAGTCATTGTAAAGGCCAGATATGCATTCAGTCACCTCCAACAGTGCTTAGCGAAGTCGGAAACATGACGCATTCTGATCTACGCCGAACATATTAAAGTGCTTTCGTTCTTTAATGAAAATAGACAGTGAATTGTGTTTTGACTGACAGAGTAAATATACGCTCACTTCAACAATTCGAAGAAAAACTGCTTGAAGTATGGCAAGAATGTTAGCGGTGGGGGGACCACGACCAATTGTTTTCTGTTCCAAGATATCCAGTATGGCCGCTAGACCTTGTGCATTCACTACCATATATGCACACAAATGGGGCGAAAGAGCTGACAATCGGTCTGCAAAGAGTCATATCTGTATAGTAGATCTTTTTCTACGGTTTTGATATACCGAGTAAATAAATGCAACGTACTAAGAATGAACGCTCCCACTTTCGAAATGTACATCTTTGAGTCGAAAAGCATGTCGACGGCATCGTGCATTCTTCAAAGAAGCAAGCTTGATTAAAACCAGAAACAAACTTCATTATAACAAAAAACCAAACGTCCAACACAAATCCTATATAGAAAAAAGCCCACTTAGCCAACACAGGACGTGAACTCAGGGCTGCATTATCAACAATAGCGCTGGGTTGCTCAGCAGCGATATTTCCCCTATAGGCAGCCATAAATGAACGTCTCTTTTGCAAATGTACGCGCAGGCGAGCTCGTTCACGATATCCCCTGAACCATGCCTAAAATAAAGTGACGGAATCGTTTTCGATAAAGGTTTCACGAGATCACTACTCTGACCTGAATTTTAATAGCAGCTGTAGTTTGATCACGAATCGAAGGCACACAGCAATGAGGTTCTACCTAAAATTAGCCTATAGAAAGAACAAAAACGTTATTAAACTTTGTCGATGTTGTACATATGATCGAAATCATTAGAAGTTGCAAACTTCAAAGAAAGAATAGGAAAAGGTACTAAGGAGAATACAAGACCAGGTTTTTCAAACAAAAGCTTGAAACTTTCGGCTTGATTAGTCTTTGAGGGATGCGCCATGCAATCGACTTCATCAAACATGGAAGGGTTAGGTCAGCCTGAACGCTGGATCAAACCAACGACTAGTGTGTATGCCAAGGCACCCTCCAACTACTCCACTAGATAAGCTCTCTTTGTGTGATGGTGAACCTGACCATATAATGTGTAACACTTTAAAACTCACTCTTTATTGAACCATTTTCCATGTAGTTACCTTACTAATACCTAATTTGCAACTATTTTAGGTTTACTGAAATAGTGAATTAGAGACGCGAGATTAAAGAACGAAATTTGCACTGCTTTCCGCAATGAATTCAAGTGGAAATACTCCAACAGTAACAACTCGAAATCTCACCAAACCATTAACGAAGGAAGCGCTTTCAACCTTTTAGTGTATACACGCTTGGGAAAGTTTAGAATCGAAGATATGATCTTTCATGAGAATATCTAGTGCTCGCATCAGCAATTCACAATTACCGTTTAAAAGCTTAAACCGAAGCTTACTCTCAAAAAAGAATTTGATATCTCTCACGAGAACTAAATATTAACTGTTTAACTTCCGTTTGCCATCTGAAAGACATTTGAAAACGTAAAAAAGATTGACAAATTATTGCCATATGAACGAGCGCATCCCTCAAAGACTAATGTGAATACTACTTTTAGCTTCATCAAATCATAAAACAACAACCCTACGGCATTATGACGTACGATGAAAGCTGGGACCCGCAAGAAAACTGACAACGTTGAAAGCAGTGGTTGGACCAAAATTAAAAAAACTAAATGCTTTCGAACACCGAATTTCAGCCAAAAGAATGTTATAGTGATTTGCTTGTTTGTGATACAGATATGAAACCACCTCCTATAACTTCCAGAATCCTTGCTAAAACCATTAGAACAGATAAGCATTGTAAGAAAGTTGAAAAAATTCTCTAAAAGCTGGTACACTTGCGACTGCTGCATATCTATGAAGTGTGTCGCGCGATAGATGCTGTCGACAGTAGTACATTCGCCACCAACAAATAAGCTCTATGGCCAAAAGAAAATCCCGTTTATGTTGCTTTTTATAAGCGATGAAGTAAGCGTAGCTATAAAACGATGCTTAAGAAGGGCAGGTCTAGAGGAATCGGTAGCGATAGTTGAAATACCACCGGCTACTCTACGTCGCCAATTCGCTACTCTAAGTTCGCAACCGCCTGTGTGAAACAACAAATTGCGTAATTTTCCCTTACGGCAGGGACGGTGATTGCATGAGTTCAGGTACGATATACCTGATCTCTTGTAATAATTGCGGAGATGAATACATTGGCGAAACGGGCAGACCTTTGTGTATCCGTGTAAAAGGACACCTAGATGGTAAACGAAAACTAAGACAAAGCACCCCACTAGGCACGCATAGGATACAAAAGCATAGCGGAGACGATTTTGAAGTAAAAGTCAATATCCTTGCACAGGAGTCCAAAACACCAGCGCGAAAACTCCTTGAGGCTTTTTGGATCAATGCCAAAAACCCTACAATGAACAGCAGGGATGAATGCCCGGAGGTCACACGCGACCCTGATCCCGTACGTTCGCATCGATTTTTGATGTGGGATGGTGCAGTCGTCAACCACATGCGACTATAATCAGCTGTTCTAAACTTCCTCATTGGAAGTCACGAAAAAGCGGTGGGTTTTTCGAGAAGCTGTTGATCATGTAATTACCAAACAGTTTTTCGTCTTTTGTAAGTGTTATTGAAGCGTTTGGCCTAGTAGATTGTATATCAGTATACCCTTCCAGGCTCTGAAGAAGGTGATACTGCCGAAACGTCAGCTACCGTTGTATTGTATTGTTTTTCTATGGAAGTAAATGTATGCTGTCTAAAAACCTTGCGATTGCTGAACAAAAAACGACACATTCACATTCCAATGCCGAGGTTAATAAAAAGTCGATCCTAGGAATAAGCTCTATGTCCACTTTGGGAAATACTGGCAAGCTACCCTTAAGCAAACCCAACTCCAGTTCCAGAGCTCAGCAAGCTATAAGTAGGTAACAAAAGTTAAACACAGTAAAATAAACGGACCTGATTCCTCTGACCCTGAAAGAACCCACGATTCGTCAGCGTTGGGTAGGCTGAATACTGACTGGACGTCAAAATCTCAGGGCCATTCTATGCTGCTTAAATCGCAAAGGACTAAGGACGATCTGTAAATGCACGCACACTTTCATCTGAGTTCTCGATAGAAACCTTGACCAACCAAGCAAGAAGGAAGAAGGACGATGTTATCGGACTGTTTGACACGAGAAGATGCCAGTCATTCAACGCCGTCTATGACATCGGAGAAGAACTGTTTCTCGGAACATGCGATAGGAAAGGAGTCGGCGGCATCACCGTTCTCGTCAACACAAGTTTGGCAATGAACACCGATTCATTTGAGCAACTAGCAATCCGAATCGAACGGGTACGATTAGAGTGATGTGGATAAATACCGACTCTGACAATCTACGTCGTTTACGCGCCGACATCAAACTATGACGAAGAAGAAGTCGAAGCGTTCTATATGGACATGAATCAATCCTGTCAATCCTGCAGAGAAGACTATACATTTTCTAAGGTCATCAATACAGATTTTAACGCTAAGATTGGACGCAGAAGAACGTCTGAAGAACGTTCCGGTTCTTCAATTTGGTCCAACCCATTAGAGTCCACGGATTAGAATAGAACGCGAGGTGAGCAGCTGTCTGAGTTTATCACGACAACCAAGATCATTCACAGTAATTCGCAATTCCAGAAGCCCCACCCTCAACGCTGGACGAAGGAATCTTCTAATGGAGAGCACCACAACGAAATAGACCACATAGTACATCGAAGGTTTTGTCTAACCTATGTCGCTGTTATACCAAAATTTTACATGGGACAAGACCCATCGCCTCCTTCGTGCAAGATTTCATTTCTCGTGGAAAGGAGAAAACGCCACTAAATTCAGGGAACAATGGATCATTTATTGGCTCCCGTTCGGGTCACTCGACGATCAAATGGAAGATGTTTACAGGTGATGTCGTGCGACGTCCATACACAGCACAACTGATGACAAAAAGCTTAAGTTAACCTAAGAAATTCTGCCTCACCCACCACATTCGTTGAACCTCCTACTAGCTAAATACAACTTTTTATGCTTTAAAACAAAAATAACCCGCTGCAGAAATTTGGAGATTACTGCTTCCAGAACTTTTAAGCTGTCGGGCTTAAATGCGCAACTTTTTATATGGCATAAATGTGGATATTCTAATGAATATATTGATTATTAAAGGCGTATTTGATCAGAGTCGCTAGGAATAGGCTATTATTTTCGTTATACTAATACTACGGCTGGATGGTTCCTCCTAACGACCTGCGTAGTCCAGAACATTTCCCATTTTTCTCGTTCCTTTCTATCGTTGTCCGCAATAATAGTTTGTTTTTGTATGGTAAGTCTTGTTCTGTACGCCAAACAGTCGAAGATACGGCGGGCCGGACACGTAGTGCGTATGAATGACAACCGATGGTCAAGAGCCGTGACTGGAATACTCGGGATGTTAAACGTACTGCAAGAAGACCAGCGACCCGATGGTCAGAGCTCTTCACGAAGAGCCTACAAGAAAGACGTGATGCTCGACGAGTCCCTAGAGCGAGCAAAACCAACTGTGGTACTCTTGCACGCGACAGGGAAAAATGGAAGATTTACTGGCTCCTGGTCGAGTCACTCGACGACCAACGAGACTACAGGTGATACAGGTGACGGTAAGTCTTGAGATTCCACGACCTACAAATCATTGTCCTTCGATAACTTTAATAATACAGCTGATGTGTCTAAACTTAATACATGTCTTGTTGGTTGGTGGTTGCTTAAGAAAAAACTATCCTCCCGTGAGTCAGCTCGTTGCCTCTTGTACAGGAATTATCTACAACACTAAAAAAGGGAATCAACGTGAATCCCTCTCCAATTAAGAGAAAAAAAAAGTCTAACAAATTTTCAAACAAACCTGTTCTTCAGTTATACTTTCCTTACTTTCGGAGTATTCCGACAGTTTACGTCCGCAAACCTCAAATCTCAAGCATAGTTCCATAATTCGTAAATTTTCCATTATCAATATGATAGTTCTACGTAAATTTCTTAAAGCACACCTTCAATACTTTCGAGCAGAACTTTTGCAGACGTTCATTCTGACGTACATTATACTGCAACTCAAGAACTTGCCTTAAGTCACTAAACTTATCCTAAAAGATAAAATCGCCATGAGCAATCCAATGACATAATTATAAAATCTCAAGTATTCATATCTCTTCCAATGCTGATGATTTGCTTTCCTGACTATCCTTAAAAACAAGGCTTTCTTTCGGCAATAAACGGCTAGTCTCAGCTGGTTCCTGTTTAAGACACCGGCGCGCAAGAAAAGGTCGTCCACATTGCTTAAAAAACCGTTGATTAACACAATGCTACAAAACATTTCTCGCATGTGTTATTGACTTTGGAACATAAGGGGTCAGTGGACGGAGGTTATTGTTTCAAAGAAAAATACTGAAGTAAAAATTCCCATGGTATACGACATTCACTCATATGATTGTCGCTTGCCTGTGACAAAGAGCTCGGAAAACCACACCACGTCCCAGGATTACAGTAAGAATCGGCTCCACCATCAATCAACCACCTTAATAAAGAAGACCAAAAATTTTCAAGCAGCAGCCGAACCTACCTGCGATATTTAAAGTTCTGAGAATAGCGGTGCGAGCAAACGAAAGAAAGAAGTGCACAGAACGTACGATGCTTGATGTCGGGTTATATTGCACAAGTGAAAAAAATACTTGATTGCCCCTTATTCATAAAAAATACAAGAAGTCGCCTATTTCCTTTCCCTCGCAATTGTTGTGCTCTAGGCGTTGTACTGTGAACATTCATCCAGCAATACTCATTGAGCACGATAGCCGTGCGCTATTTCCTCCACTGGTCGAGCACCTTCTCATTTAGGTGTCACACAGGTTCGAAGATTCCAGGTGTAGAAATATCCGTTACTGCTGTCTGGTCAACGCTGAGGAGGTTTTTTTCTAGCATCAATTTCTGGATCTCAAATGGGAACCGTGAGACAACATCAGAGAATTTTCCTCTACCAACCCCGTTATGACGAACAGATAGTAATTCCTTCTTCTTCATCGAGGGTGATAGCACAATGTTTCATTCACAGAGATTCCAATGAAATTCATTTTAAAAAATTTTCTTTGAGTTCATTCCAAGAGTTTTCTGCCTGCACCGTTTTGAACTCTCTTGTAAAAATTCTCTGCAACTAGCATTTATTACCCCTGCATATTGACAAGTACACGAATAAAAAATTCACAGCAAGTGCAGATTAAAGGCCATTATCACCTATTGCAACTATTCTCATACTCTCCTGTTCCTGCCACTACTTCTTATCCCCGTTTGATTCGAATCAAAGAAACCCCATTTTCTTCTTTGTTCCACGGAAGAACATTTGGATCAGTGCTTTGAATTGCCACTGAATTGAATTGAATTGACAATCGGAGCATATCAAATTTACGCAAGAAGAACAAACCAAGAACTGGCATCCATTCTTAGCCACCCACATAAAGCTTTCAAAAAGTGGCTACTTAAGAAAATGGTATCGAAAACGATGTAGTAAAATATATTAGTGCAATACCTTCCCTCTCATTCTTCACTTTTGAAAAAAGCACTCATCAAAAACGCGTACTGAACGACTAAAAGTGTGGACACAGGTGAGGAGGAAAAGAAGCTATCGCCAAGCTTGGCACGAAAAGTAGCCATCTGCAATGGCTACGAAGCAGGAGCCATTCGAACCAGACCAAAAGATGGGGTTATTCCCCAAAAGTGTTTCAAACCTAAGTAAGATCCTTTTCAAGGTACCTTTCATATCAAACGAAATAAGTTACCTCATAAAGAGGTGCCTGAGAAAAGGTGATCTTGAAAATTCTGAGGCAGTTCTTAATCTCCATCCAATACTCTACCACACCGTCGGTTAGTTCGCATTCGCCTCTATGATCGCTTGTGCAGCTCAGAAAATTGTATCACACGTGGTCCGGTGGATGCCAAATTGATTTCCTAACGAAGGTAGGTTTCACTCGCCTTCCCACGTAAACAACATACGGGTGATCCCGCAGGCATTTTATTTATAAGTTAGATATTCATTAAAACTTAATATAGATATTTCACCGGATCATAAGACCGATGTTACATAAACTAGGTCCAGGTTCTAAGGAAAGGGAAACGCCAAAACTTCAACCATGGAACAATGGCAACAAGAACAACAACGACAACTTATACCAACCCCGCACCGGCTCAACAAGGGCAGTTCGTAAGGATATATATCATGTATATATATATATATACATGTATATGTGTATATATATATATATTTCACATAACCCGTCATCACGTCTACTGCGCCGATCTCAGCACTTCTTGCATTGAATTAGTTTCTTACATCCATCATCCAGGAAGGTTTTCCAACTTGTGGAGTACGGTTTCAGCTGCTGCTATAGCACTTGGCGTTCTTTACGAATATCAAAAAGCGATGGTGGAATCTACTCTCCTTTGATTCTTGGAAATAGGCGTGCTCAGGCGTTCCCACGTGGAATGGAGGACAGCGTTGGGGTATCGAGTCAGTGTTGCTATCCTCCCAGACAGGTCTGGTATCAAATTGCCGACCACGAAGGGGTGAGAGTCAATGAAGTACCAATGCATAAAGAAGTTTTGTAAATAGCAACTCCAACACGCAACAACCTCAATGTTAGTAGCAGCTTTTCCCTTCACAGTCCATTCTATCACTCGTTCCTCACGCATTTGCTTACGATGACAGTAATGACGAAAAGCTCCCTGAAGCATCGTAAATAAACCCAAGTAAATGCTACGCACAGTAGAAATTCCGTGACATAAATGAGTTCCGTAGACAGAAAGTCTAACATGTAAGGAAGAAACCTGAATGCTAGTAGCAGCTTTTTCCCTAATAGCGCATTCTCTCAGTCGTGCCTCACGCATTTGCTTACGATGAGAGTAATGACGAAAAGCTCTCTAAACCATAGCAAATAAACCCATATCAGCACTACTGTGGCAGAAATTACGTAACATAAACGAATTCCATAGACATAAAGTCTAACATGCAAGGAAGAAACCTGAATGCTAGTAGCAGCTTTTTCCCTAATAGCCCATTCTCTCAGTCGTGCCTCACGCATTTGCTTACGATGAGAGTAATGACGAAAAGCTCTCTAAACCATAGCAAATAAACCCATATCAGCACTACTGTGGCAGAAATTACGTAACATAAACGAATTCCATAGACATAAAGTCTAACATGCAAGGAAGAAACCTGAATGCTAGTAGCAGCTTTTTCCCTAATAGCCCATTCTCTCAGTCGTGCCTCACGCATTTGCTTACGATGAGAGTAATAACGAAAAGCTCTCTAAACCATAGCAAATAAGCCCATATCAGTACTACTGTGGCAGAAATTACGTAACATAAACGAATTCCATAGACATAAAGTCTAACATGTAAGGAAGAAACCTGAATGCTAGTAGCAGCTTTTTCCCTCATAGCCCATTCTCTCAGTCGTGCCTCACGCATTTGCTTACGATGACAGTAATGACGAAAAGCTCTCTAAAGCATCGTAAATAAACCCATGTCAATACGACCACAGTAGAAATTTTGTAACACAAAGGAATTCTACAGACAGAAACTCTAACATGCAAGGAAGAGACCTGGATGGTAGTAGCAACTTTTTTCATCTCATACACTTTTCTCAGACGTTCTTCATGCATTTTCTTACGAAGAGAGTAATAACGGAACGCCCTCTAAATCGTCGGAAACCGAAATAATGTTTATCAACGGAGTTTCTAAACGTATTCACTTTTTATTTAGTGTCTAAGCCTTTTTTCTCGGCGGGCTAAATTCGCAACTACGTTTGCAGTGGTTTCATATGCTATCCGCAGACCAACCCGAGGCCCTTGCTTTGTCTCACCTATGTTTTTACTCTTTCTTTTAGTTAAGAGATCGTGATTTCGACTGCATCCTCAGATTATGTGGGTACAGTGACGATTTGTGTTCCCCAGAGCATTACCATTGATGGGTGGTTGTTGATACTACCAATATAGAGTAAAAGCATAGCTGAGAGAATGGCAAAGCGAGAGCCTCGGTCAGTGCGGTGAGTAGCACGCGAGCCTCGAGTAAAGGCAACTGCGTGTTCCGAGCCCGTCAGTGGTTCGGAGTTTTACTTATATCTCAGCATTCATATGGTTGTATTTGAAATCATACCCTGCCATGGAAAAAAATAGTCACTAGATTAACAAAGAAAGTTGAATCGCTAGTTTCTTAGATGACTAAACTAACACGAGTTTGGTAAACGGCTTTATGCTGATAGCGTTCCGACGTCTTCCTATTGTTCAAAGTCAGTTTGGTTCGAATCGATTATCCATAGGCTTTCCTTTTCGCAATGTGGATCTTTGTTATCATATCGAGTAGCGTCCAGGAAACTGCAGTAGCACCTTTCTAACGGAAGTGTCCTCAATCGGCGATGCTCCTTATGCAGGATGGTTGTTCATCTACTGCTACCCAAAATGAGCCACTAATCTGCCTGTACAGTGGCAATGCATGTTGCAGAACAACCTGATATACCTAATGTGTAAGAACGAGTACAAAGGAATGATTGAATGCATATTTGCTGTATACAGCGATTTCCTGTGTAAAAAGGAGTGGCAGGTAACGACATTCGAGCGTTACTCGAGTCCATCGGTTTCGACTCGATGGCATAACGAAGACCTACATTACGAGAACGAACACCTGAAGACAACTTATTCGTATCAATTGGCCGCTGATAAAAAAGAAGACGTCGAAACATTAGCCGAATAAAACCTTACGAACCTCGCATTAGCTTAACAAGCCATGAAGCTAAAAACCCAAACAAGTAGTAGCTCAGAAGAACTACTTTCTGGTGTACCTACTTGGACATTTGGACGGCCCGTCCTTAATGGTTTTGCTGACCCCAACATAATCTCCATTTTCTCGGAGTTTTGCTGTTCTAGTCCTTCTAGTTCTCTGGAGTCCCGAGGTCAACCAGACTAAAGTCTGCCCCAAGTCGCCACCACCACAGGGAGCTGCGCCCTTGTAGATCAGAGATTTGTCACCATGCAGCTAGTTCGATAGCAAGGCGGTGGTCGTTCCTGGTATTGGTTTACTCTTAGCTGGGCTAAATGGAAACTCCTTAACTTGTTTGACCTTGCCAGGGGGATAAATCACGCCAGTGTACATCGCAGCCCGACACCCAGGAACACTTCCCAGCTACGATGAGGCGGTAAACCAATGTGAGCAGTTTCTAATGTACGACATATAAAATATGGACTAGCTCGACAAGGTCCACAGACATGCACACACACAAATTTGCTTGAAAATAATAGTTATGGCTGAAACGAAATCTATGTTCCAATTTTACAGTTACACAAAATGTTTAGTATATAATTGACGGACCTGAATCAGCATAACAGCACGCTCAAAACCAACTTGCTCAGCATAAGGCGTTAAACAGTTCTTGGTGTGATGAGCTCGCGAATTAGGCTAAAAGTACTTGAATAACACGGTCAAGATAAACCTCAGAACTGAACTCAACAAAAATACTCTTTCGCCGTCTACGCCGGAAAAATACCTGAACTGCCAGTTCGACAAGGTTACCCTGAGGCTCCCTCCTCTCAAGCAACTTATCAACTATCAACTATCATAAAATTGAGCGCGCAAGCATCGTCGAAAAATAAACCCTCGACTATAGACCAGGACTATTTTTTTAGTCAAAAAAAAAACCATGCGAACCCGTGACAAGCACACCTTACGCAAAATTCTAATGACCTCCAATCGGACACTTTAATAACCCTGCAGTAAAATCAACAACTTTTTGTATATTACAGCACCAAAACCGCCCAAGATCTTTCTATAGTCATCGAAGTTAACCTTTTAACCGTTCCAATCAATTGATAGGTATTATACATTTCAGCGAATTTAATTATGAACTGATATAACGCCGGTGTACACATGGAAAGAACCTTTCCATACTTCTAATAAATATTATCGAGGTGTCTCAACCATTCTTCAGCATTCACCAAATATGTTAAAGGAAAATCGTGGAGTGAAACATGCAAAAGCGAACACAAGAAGGCATTTCCTTTTCCATTGAATAATAAAATGTATTTAGGACTATAAGCATACCTGGAGGCTAACATTTACTGATGTACAGAATACTTCTTCAGTATGACATACATTCGATAGGTCCAGAATATGTCCCCCATGCTGAATTTCTCCCAGTTCACTGCAATATAACTTTATTCCGGCTTTTTATAAGTGCGTAGAATTAAAACCAACTTTCTCAAACTAGCGGATAGTATGTCAGGATCATCATGAACAGCAACAAGCGGTTTAGGAGTTTCAAAAATTGAACTTCTTTCCACTCTCGGGGCCAAAATGAAGGTATCTTTTTGGATCTGGTTGCCAATATCATGCACATCCACAGCTGCACGTCGTAGCTTCCATAACTTAAGCATAGTACTCTCGATATTCGGAATAAAAATGAAGATGGACGACGAATTTTCAGTTTGAAAAAAATTGGATGTATACCCGTATTGCTTTGAATAGTTTGTAAGATCTATACGCTCTTTGGATGCGTAATGCAGCATTATGCAGTTCACGTATCGAACAAAGACGCGATAAATAGATATGAGCGAACAGTCCTATACAGTAGTGTAAACCCCAAGGCACATCAAGATTCGATTCAGCCTGCAACACAAAATTGAAACGAAAGATCTGGAGAGAATACAAATTGGAGATGTTCTCGAGGAAAAAAGCTCGTATACACTTACCGCGTTGGCAACTTTCAATAACAAAGAGTCACCAGGATATAGACGAATATCAGGAGCGTTAGCATTGTACATACGCCATGCACCGGCAAAAACCATACCGTCACGGAGATCACTAAGCGAGTCGACCTGAATGTTAACATTAAAAACAGCATGATAAATTTGTACAGCGTGTCCGAAGTGTGTGGTCTCAAGAAACGTAGAAAGCAACTTATGCGATTCCGAATAATGTGAACAAAGACAGCCATTCAAGAATTAGAAACGCACCAAATTTGATAACATCCTTATGTACCCTACCGAGTTGGACCCAAAACTGGTCCAGCATTCATGAAATTCGCTATCGGTACTAATTACGAAATAGCCGAGCTCATTTCAAATGCTGAACGCATTATTCTCTGTTCATCGCTATTTGTTGTTCAGACCGAATCTATTTTCAAAGAAATTATAACTGAGTAGAAAATCTCAATTCTTCGTTGCAGTGTCGAAATGTAGTCCACTCCAGATCAACATCAACATCACAATTAGGAAATGGTGTTGTTACGTGTCCTTCCAACGGTTTACCGCCTCATCGCAGCTGGGAGATGATCCTGCACGTCGGACTGCGATGTGCAGCGGGGGATTCGTTCCCCGGCAGTGTCTTCCAAGCTGAGGAGTTCGGCGTTTCCATCAGGAAGCCTAGCTAAGAGTAAATCAATACCAGGATCCAACACCCGTCCTGGTATCAAAGCCGCATGGTAGCAAATCTCCCTCTGATCCACAAGGGCTACGACAGCCCGTGGTGGTGAAGACCTGAGGCAGACTTTGACCAGGCTGACCTCGGAATTCCAAGAAACCACAATGGCTTAACCAGCAAATCACCGATAAATGGTGATTATGCTTGGGCACGCATAAGCAGCGAGGACGGGTCGTTCAAGTGTTAAGTGTTGAATCAGTGCAATTTGGAATAGCTATGTCACAATATGGCTTGGAATATACTTGCTTCATTCTGACGAAAAGTATTCTTCGCTCTTCGTTTCTCCTTTCTCTCAGCTGTGTTTTATGGCTGCTACCAAGACTCGCATCGTGTGGTGGTGAACTCGTTAGACCCCGGAAAAGGTAATAGCATGTTCGATCCCCACCGCATTCCGGAGTTTTGCGAATATCTCAGTATCACTGTGATAGGAAACAGTGCCCACGCTCTGACCATCTAAATAAGATTCAATTGAGAAGACTGAGAAGGTATACTCAATTTTCACTTTTAGCGCCTTGTTACCGAACTATCACTGTTAAATTAATGCGATATCGCCAATGATTAATAAGCGAACATAGCTTGCTTTAAGTGATTCATAGATTACCTGAAAACTTTTCCCGCAGTGTTGTAGTATCTATACAGTTAACATCTACAAATTTTACAAAAACAACGGCTATAAACGGATTCTAAAAATAAGAAAGCAACTAGAAGGAAACAATACGCGCCTCCATGATTTCTATATGTTATGATGCTGGACACAGATATTATGACTTCCCAGTACAACGGGTTTATTACTCATGGTAGATAAGAAAAACATACGAGAACACCAGAAAAGTGAGGTAGAGCAAACTAATACTGAACTAGATAATAAGCAACGAAAACCTTTAGAAAGAGAGATAAGAATTTCAACCGAATACTAGCCTAAACGTGTTCGGAATAATGCGAATTTTCAGTCAATGAGGCCTTCACGTAGTTCACACAATAAATTCTCTATTTGTTCTTCGCAAGCAGCATGGAAAAAACTGAACGAATATTTGAAACTGACCTTAATTCCCAACTCATGACCGATCTCTCTCCACAACTGAAGAACGAGCCCTTCTGAGGTAACCTTTCCAGAAATCGGTGCAAATTTCTCGCCGTAGAACTTTGGAAATGTCAAAGGCGCGCGTCTCAGAGTAGGATCCTCCTTTGTGCACTGCAGAAAAGTGTTATTCAGACAAGCAGCGATGAACAAACGCGTACTATTAACATACTATATAAATCCCAACAAGCTTCCACAAAACCTCCAGAATAGCGTCACTGTTTCCGGAAACCAGTGCCTCGGGCTTCACAGCTGAAATATTTTGGACCTACTTAGACCACCACTGCAATATTTAAACTACAGCGACCTTGAACGTCTAGTCCTCGGTCAGATGCAGCATGAAGGCAAATCTTGACGTTCCCGATTTTCCTTAGCCGATCACCGCGAGGATCACGCAAACGATTAATTACGCTTCCCGGAGGGCATTCAGTAACAAGCTCGATAGTTTTTCTGAAATATGAACTGTCATTACTTCAGTTAGAGTTAACAGTTCATCTCTCAAGCCACATTCTCTTCAAAACCAATATTTTATATACGCTATATTTTGGTTCACAATGATAGACAGAAACTACTTCATGTATAACTTTATACTTTAACTTGATGCTTGATACTTAAACGGTCCGTCATCACTAGTTATGCGGGCCCCAGCATAATCACCATTTTTCGGAGATTTGCTGGTTAAGCCATTGTGGTTCCCTGGAATCCCGAGAACAGTCTGGTCAAACTCTGCCCCAGGTCTTCACCACCACAGGCAGTCGCAGCCCTTGTGGATCAGATGCCACCATGCGACTATTTTGATACCACGCCGGCGGTGAATCCTGGTATTGCTTTACTCTTAGCTGGTCTTCCTGATGGATACGCCGGACTGCTCCCCAGCTGGGAAACCCTGCCGGTGGGATGAATCCCCCTGCTGTAAATCGCGGCTCGACACCCAAGAACATTCCCCAGCCACGATGTGGTGATAAACCGTTGAGAGGTATACTTTAACTTCTCCGATGATTCACGAAAACCACATAGGAATGAGGAACACTTACCCAAGTATTACTCCGTCTGTAAGGTCTCCGAATTCTCTCACAGAATAGGGGTAGTCGTCTAAGAAAGTCTGGAGAGAGAACAGAGTTGAGCTAATACAAACTGAAAACACCAATTATGATGAAACAAGAAAAAAGAAAAGCCAACCTGCTTGAATGTAGGCTTAAAACCTATTTTTGCAAAAGCTTTATTAAGTGGAGTTCCGCTTCCTGATAACACTTCCCGACTTAACTCGGAAAACACATCTTCCATACACTTAAACAAGTTGAATAGTTCTTACAATAACAACTTCTACTCATCCACTCACGCACCTTAAATGTAGAGCGCTTCGAAAACATTCCAGGGTTATGCTTAATTATTGCAGCTGCCTTCGCTGATTCAACGAAATAACAAAATAACGATGTATACAACAAGAAATGTGAATGTAAAGCTTCTCGACCGGCGTCAGTTATAATTGGTCTGAAAATATCAACTCGGAAAATTTGAGGGTCCTTAGAATTATATATGCGCATTACATATTGATTATGAAGGAAAAAAACCAATTGGACATAGATCTCACTTTCCGCCACCATAGGCAAATTTTTTGTTCTTCATGATCTTCGAGTCCGAGAACAAATTTTTCACTATGAACCGACTAATGACTTGAGCAAATGGTTCACCATCACCCACTTTGATTTCCGTTTGAAAAACTAAAACAAATAAACCATTGATGAGTAGCTAGTGTGTGAAATAAACGCGAATCTTACTAGTCTCTAAACCAAGATGAAGCCAAGCCGGATGGAAGGACAGAAAAAGACGAAGTAGTGTTGTTTGCAGTGCTGAATAAATAATATTTTTGAAGCGAAAAAATGTGATAGCTACTAAGAAGCTGCTACACACAAACCGCGACATTTATTTCTATCTTTTATTTTCTCATAAAGTTATTAACCATTAATAGGCTCGCATATTAATAGGCTGGAAACGGCTCGCATAGTGACAGTGATCCCGTTTATGATGAGCAAGGAGCTGTTACATCACAGGCACTTATCCACGCATCCTTTCACATTCGCGAGGTCGGAAAATTAGTACCACACTTATCTGGAACTAGCTACTCCGCCTAATTCACGCGGGTACTCGACCAGTATTCATCGAGGTTCACAAAAAGAACAAAGATCCTCAAGAGAGAGCCGAATTCGCGAAAAGTTCGAAGACATACTTTGATGATGGATGCAAAAAGACGAATTGAAGGAAAGATCTGGTCGGATCTTCAGAATATGATTGCGAGACATAAAAAGTGAAATGAACAAGCACAAAACGATATCATAACTTTGTAAGTTTTCTTACTCAAGTCTGAGTGCACGTTGCAACCCGCACGTACGAAGAACGTGCGATCCTTCACAATTGAACGAATTCGTTGGGGCACCTCTGAAGTATTAAAAAGGCGACTGGCTCTGAAAAAATTCTACATAGAATTTTATAATTATTTGTAAGCATCCGAACATTTTAGCCAAGCTTACGCCTCACGGATACTGTCCCTCTTCTGTTTCCTTAAAAAATCTGCATAAGTAAAAGGTTTCCTGTCCAGCTCTGAGGTCGTCTTCGGCAACTTTGACTTCAACAGAAGGTCTTGCAGCACTTTCCTAGCTTCTGGAATTTGGTTAATACAGTAGATAAACAAGTTTTCAAAATCCCTACACACAAATTGAAAGAGTTCAAGTTCTGCGTTCACTTACACCCAGTGTCTTACCATTCATAGTACTGCCTATGTCAAGTTCCTCATGTTCGTACTGAGATCTGAGTATCATATTGCACCAGACAGCCATCGCCTTCATCTGACGTTGTGTACGGTCCTCTTTCGATAGTAAATAATCCTGGTCACTTTCAAATATCATCTGCAGCAGTATAGCTTCACCGAAGATAACCTAATCTTTTTAATACCAAACTGCAACAGGAATGCTAAACAAGATTAAAAATTAGGCCTGTGTTTATTCATTTATCGTACTCATTCCATGCGCCCGTATACTACATGAAGTTGAGTAAGAGGACAATTAATGCATGGGAATTGGTGTCCACTGCCCACCATTCTTTTGCACTGTTCAACAGAAGTGATTTGAAGGAAAACTTGCTGTCAAAACCACTTCTATGGAGAAAAACACGGCAGATATAAAAATAACCGTGGTCATCACTTTAACCAGAAGAACATAATAGACACCGCAATAGAAGATTCAAATAATCTACCTCTTCCATAACAGCACTGAGTCCCTTTGCAGGATGTAAAACTTGGACGGGAGTTGGTACACCGCTAGTAGATCTTGAGATGACAGCCGGGATATCTAGCGTTGGAGGACACTGTCGTAATGGCGTGGAGCATATTGGAGTTAGCTTTTGATTATACCCATCTAAACGATTGACGAACCTTTAAAAATTTCGAAGAAACTACCACATATATAATGTAAACACTTACCGAGGTTTACTGAGCTTCCTATTGCTGAAGATTTCAAAGAAAAAGTATCGCTTGACCGTACACAAGAGATGTCAGAAAAGTTTGGCTCAGGAACAGAATACGCTAGCTGTAATCACTGTAGAGCACTCCCATTCACTATAGATAACCGTAATATACCATGTATACAATAACATAGAAAAGGAAGAAAAAAAGAAAAAGATAAAGGTGAAACGAAAGACCCGCATGGTGTGGTGGTGGTGAACATGTTAGTCCCCGGAAAGGGTAATAGCGAGTTCGATCCACACCGCAGACGCCTACGGTCAGGATTTTCCAAATATCTCAGCTTCGCTGTGGTTGAATAAAATAGAAAGTTATACCTGAGAACTAAGCAAGTTCCTACTATCGATTGAATTCTTTTCCAAAAGTGATGCTTCTGTTCCAACGAGATCGATTTTAGGTGGATGATTTTTATGAGCTTAAAATACATGTAAGCTATAAAAATGGATAAAAGGCGGTCAAAAGTAGACGGATTAGGACCTCTATTCAACTTTCTTTTTTGATGCATTTCCTGCAGCTTCTTTATCTTACTTTTGAATTTGCCTTCTGTAGCCTTCGTACCCGGAGAAATGGTTAGCTAAAAAGTCTAGCAATACTAAATGAAAGCTAGTTAACAGTAGTAGACACGACGGAAACAAATAATGTAGAACACCTCTATTCTTTCATGCTGTGAATCACCGAGTGGAACACTCCCTATCAAAGAAGTGTTTGCTGAATTCTTCTTTTTGAAGGCGTCCTGCACGTGGAACAAATTCTAGAAGTAGAGTGTGTACAATGGGTGATTGATACAGCTGCTGTACCTCTAGCTTGCTTCTAAACTTGTAAAATCTAGCAGGTGATGAATGCATCCAACACTTTATGAGAGGTGTTCCTGGGTGTCGGGCTTCGATTTACACCGGGAGGCATTCATCCCCACCCCCAGCACGGTCTCCCAAGTTGAAAGGAAGTCCAGCGTTTCCATCAAGCCCAGCTAAGAGTAAACCAATACCAGAATTCAGCAACCCCATTGTATAAACTAGCCGCACTGTGGCAAATCTCCCTCTGATCCACAAGGACTGTGACTGCCTGTGGTGATAACGACCTAGGGCAAACTTTGGTCAAGCTGACCTCGGGACTCCAGGGAACCACAATGGCTAAACCAGTAAAATTCCGAAAAAGTGGAAATTACGTTGGGGCCCGCACAACCAGTGAAGACGGGCCATCCAAGTATCCAAGTAGTAAGTAGGTGGTAAATGTGGCTCAGATTTGCAAAGTTATATCCTTCAAATTAAAATCTGTGTTGTATAGCTTTATGCGGATCGGTAACGCGACTGATTTGCCGCCTTCAAGAAGATGCTGTCTTTTGGTCTATAGATAAACCGTAAACCGCTGCAAGTGACTATCGAATGTAGATGCCATTATTTTACTAGACACTATATTATTCACAACGTAAATCACCTCATCTGATGATATGGAACCTGGTGATTCGCCATCAACGCTTTGCAACGTCCTATCAGCGTCAAAGATGAAGCGCCGAGGTGTGGTTGAAAATCTGAAAATGTCATCAACATAGCAACTGATAAAGATGTACTGCAGGTCAATTATTAACAACAGGCAGGAAGTTCTTATAGGATAGGAAACAAAACTAGTAACGCCATTACGCTAAAAGATCTATCCTCATTAGAACCTTTAGAAGCAAGCGATCAATATCCAGCAAAAAAAATTGCCACTATACTTGAAAGACAAAATTTATGCACGTCAATGTTACTAGTTCGGAATATAGAGAAAGAAAACCCAGTTATTCCTAAAACATTTTTTCTCCAGCAAGGAAAGCTAGAGGATAAAGGATAAAGCTCTCAAAGTTGATCAATCCCTATATGATGCGCCATGCATTCGACTTCACTAAACATCGTTTGGAAGTGATTGAATGCATATCTAGGCTTTACAATGAGTCGTGGTGGTTTACCGATGTATGGAGTCCGTGCTGCTATCCTCACGGACTAGGATTCCACGTGTGTGTTGCAGAGCACCTCCGACCACTGCGCCACACGCGCCCGGTGGCAAAGGAATATGGCTCAAATAAAGATGTTGCATAAAATTCAGGACTTGCCTCACGGATTTGCGTCGTCCGACCACACTATCGTTCAGCGATTCAGTTTCCATGAGTCAGTAAACTTCGTACGGCCACCTAACGCAATTGGAAAGCTGCAAAATGAACACAACGTTATAAGGATAAGCCATTCATAACAACGATGCGATAACGATCAATTGAACCAAATAAAGAGAGAGACAGATCACTGTTGGAAGAATGCCTAAAAACAGTTCACTTTCAAAAGCAAAATTCATGACGTCCATTGGAAAGCAACGCAGGATTTAAAAAGTGGATCCTCGCGCCTTGTCCCTGGTAACTATGGGCGCAAGATTCTCTGTGGAGCACGACGGTGTGTGAGATAGCTCTTAAAACACTTGTTGAACTATTTTCTCTGCTGATGTGATAAAGTGGAATCGAATGACTGTGTTAGCATCGATATATTCGGCTTGATGTAGTGCGTCCGTTTGGACGCTGTGAAGTGTTTCTATATTTCGACAAAGTTCACAACATGTAGCAGGTGATACTGGTAGACTTCTAAAGAAGTGGCTATGGTTTCGTTGTACTTCACAAAGTAAAATCACTTGCAGGATAGCACTTGATGTTGAGAACTATTGCCCTCGTTAATATTCAGAAGAGAGAGTTCACGAAGGGTTAGTAGAAAATGTTAAGCAAATTGGGGTTTGCAGAAGTGCTTTCACGCTGGACGCGATGTGCGAAGCCTTTCCACAGATTTGGGATCGAGGAATGAGTGCAGTTCATAACGTGCAGCTCGAGCAGGGGGTCAATATGTAAAGATACTTCATGAATAAAAAATTATCCTGGAAAAAGAGCAAAAGTTCTGCAGAACAATGGGAATTGCACGGAACAGAAATGGTACATTTTACAAGTGTGCTACTTACTTGGATACTTGGATGGCCTGTCTTCACTGCCCCAGCATAATTCCAGTTTTTTTGGAGTTTTGCTGGCTTAGCCATTGTGGTTCCCCGGAATCCCGAAGTCAGCGTGGCCAAAGTCTGCCGTGGTCGTCACCACCACAGGCAATCGCTGCCTTTGTCAATCAGACGATTGTAGATGATCACTTACAGCAAATGAAAAAGTCATCGCGACCATCATTTTAGAAGAATTCCACCTTGAGTGATGTTAAGGAACTTCATCTGGGTCTTCTCGGTTGTCGTGTGGAAGGAACTGGCTTTTCATCGTAGGTTATACTGCAAGAAAGTGGTCGTCTTCGTTGTGCAACATGAATTGCAGCGCAGTCTTCATAGAGATGATCTCTTTGGTTCTCATTCAATTCGTAGCAATTAATCGAGTTTTGTCATCGGCAGATCTCTTTCGGATGAAGATAACAACAATTTCAAATGAAGCTGGGTGGTTAATGTTCAGTGCCGTCAGAAGCCTTTCGCGTGGTTTTGAGTAAATGGTCTTTATCAAGCCCATGTTAGCGAAGGCATGGGTTACTTCTGTCAAGATTTAATGATAGTCGACTTTAAGATTTTACAAAAGACATGTAATTTTAATGATGCTGAGATATTTGCGAAACTCCGGACCGCAGGTGTATGCGGTGGGGAACGAACACGCTATTGTCCTTTCCGGGGAGTAACGCGTTCACCACCACACCATGCGGGTCCGTCGTTTCGCCTGTCTCTCTAGTTCTATCGATCTTTTGCCATCATCAATCACCCGTCATCGGGATCCCGAGCGGAAACCTGCGGTCCGGAGTTTTGCAAATATCTTAGCATCATCAAAGTTATATATCGCAATGTACACCCTGCCGTTAAAAAGAGTAGGCAGTTAATAATAAGTTAAAAGTTATTACAAAAGACGTTTAAAAGGATCCGAACAGCAAAAATGGCCATTAAATATGATTCAACCAAATATTTCGCTATTTAGAAAACCCGACTTTGTGTAGCTCCTCAGCAAATATTCGTATTCCAGTTTTGAACTCCTCAGCTACAACTTTGTGCTAGTCGAACACTGGTCAAGCCCAATACGAGCTTCCGTTGCGGATCACTTCCTCTGATGTCCTGACTGGTCGCATAACATCTCGAATTCGTAAATCAATGTTCGTTCAAGGATACATTATGAAACTTGGTTTCTTCTAGATCCACGAAGAAGCGATATGCATTAGCGTGTGAAGAGACTATTACTAATCTGCTGTTCTCTTTTCTACAGCAATCGCGAGGTTGTTATTCAGCACACGTTTAATTCCTCGCAAATATAGCACATACAACGCAACGGACGCCGGCGTTTCGGCGGTATCGCCTTCTTCAACCAGATGCGACTCTAAGCGGTTGTTCTTCCTTGGTGGAAAACAGATAAAA